TGGAGAGATGGCTTAGCAGTTAAGAACACTGGTTGTTCTTGCAGAAGATCCAGGTTTGAATCCCAGCACCCACATGGCAGCTAACAACTGTCTGTAACTCCAGTCCCAGGGGATTCGACAGCCTCTTCTGACCTCTGCGGGCTTTGCACAACATGGGTGCACTTACCTACGTGCAGGCAATACATGCACACAAAATAAAAATAATAAATTTTTTTAAAAATGTTAACTTTATTTCTAAATAATATGTGTGTTTGTGGAGGTCAGAGTACAACTTGCAAGAATCAGTTCTCTCCCTCCTGGGGACTGAACTTGGGTTGTCAGGCTTGGCAGCAAGCACCTTTACCTGATGAACCACCTTGCTGGTCCTTTTATTTTTTGTTTTGTTGTTTTGTTTTCTCAGAAATGGAATCAAGGCCAAGGCCTGGTATATAGTAGGTAAATGCTTTACTGTTTGCTACAGCCCCAGCTACATTTCACTCTTTAAACTGTGAACATGTACTACTTTAATGAAAATACAAATTATACTTTCAAAGAGAGGAGAAACATTGTATTGAATGCAAGTAGGAAAAGTGAAAGATGTAATTATTTATCCTGATTTCCCTCTATAAAATATGTTTCAGAACCTGGAGTAGTAGTTCATGCCTTTAATCCCAGCACTCCAGAGGCAGAGGCAGGCAGATCTCTGTGAGATGGAAGCCAGCCTAGTCTACACTGGGAGTTCCAGGCCAGCTGGGGCTACAGAGAGGCCCTTAAAAAAAAAAAAAAAGAAGAAGTAAAATAAAAATAACGAAAAAAAATATATATCTCAGGTCCAAATCATGAATAAAGGCAGATGTGCCTTTATAGGAGTAACCCACCTAACAAATGAAGTGAGGGCAGAATAGCAATCTGTTTATTTGCAATTTTGCAATCTCTAATGAAGTCTGTGACTGTCACGGGCTACTGACATCACAGAATGGGGATCTGACATCATTAGGTAGTGGGAGGGGAATAAAAAAAGAAAACTTCCAATGAGTTGATGGTTATTAAGGCCATAAAGTGAGTATGTGAGACCCTCATACTCTCCTCTGTTTGTGCATGCTTGAAATTTGTCTACAGCAGAGTTTATGACAGAACAAGAAACTCACAAAGCAAGAAAAGATAAATTTAGTGGAGACTCCGAGGAGATTCCAAGTTGCTGTTCCACTCTGCCCATCCCCCCACCCCATACCCAAGTTGGCACAGGACAGGGTCTTAAATGGCTCTTGTCAGGGACTTGGTTCTTACCTGCATTTGTCTAGTCAGCTTCTGGATCTCCAGGCCTAGCTGCTGCTCCATCTCCAGAGCTGAGCTCCCCTCTGAGGCCAATATGGACAGAGCTTCTACATCATGCAATAGAGGCTTTGGGTGGAGATAAGAGAGTAAGGACTTAATTCAAGCCAGCCTGCTCCCTTCCCTCCTCCCCAGCCACTCACAGGTAAATCATTCTGGATCAGGACCAGGAAGGGACCTGGGGCCCATGCTGACAGGTGCTGCTGAACTCTTCCCAAGAACCACAGCAAGGTGGTCTGCAGGGTACAGAGCCCCAGAGCAGCAGGTGCAGGACCTGGGAGAGAAAGAGCAGTGTCTTAGGGGCATGGAGCACCTTCAGGAGGAGGCCAACCATGAACAGAAGGGGAAAAGGGGATATCAACTCTTTTGCTTCCCTCCCCCTCCATGCCTCTGTCTCACCTGGATGACACAGGATAAGTCCTGACCTAGGTTGCCGGAGGTCATCCAAGAGAGGAAGGAAGAGGCCCTGCAATAGCTCAGTGGTTCGAGAGGGTGAGGCAGGGCTGATCTGATCCCCAAGGGCTGATCCTAATGCCCGGCAGAAACCTGGAATAACGGTGTAGATGAAGGGGGAAGGGCAAGCTGGCACTTAGGTCACCACCCCCAATGTCCCTTTCTTCTCACCTTGGTCCCAGTTCCAGACAAGAGACTGATGAAGTAGGCTGTGACACAAAGAAGCCAGCGCCTTCTCACACTCCGGAGGCAGCGACACTAATGGGAAGAATGCCCGGAGTCTGAAAACAAAGCCTCTGTCCACCCCATGTCGGATGCTCCACCACTCAAGCCTGGGGTGGAGAGCCAGGCATGGTGCCTCTCAGCATTTGGGAGGCTGAGGCAGGAGAACTGCTTTGAATTTGAGACCAGCATGGGCTACATAGTAAACAAAACAAAGACCAACATAGAAAGCCTAAAAAGATTAAAGCCCGGGCAAGTTCATTCTAAAGGATCTGCTCCCGGTGTCAGGTCTCCGGTGAGTGAGCTGACTAGGGGAAAGGGATACACCCCCCCCCAGGCCAATCACTTACTTACCTTGACATAGTGCCTGGTTCAGCTGCTGTGCTGCTGCCCTGGGGTCCCTCCAGGATTCCAGTCTTAGGTCTAGACTCTGAGCACAGGCTGCCCACAATAGGGTCCAATATTGGCTCCACAGGGCTCCAGCCCCTCCGAGCCTCAGTCCCGGGCTGTCTGTGCTAGCCACGCCCCCTATTAGGCCCAGCAGCCCGGGCAGCAGCTCTTGCTCCTCTAAGCACTGCAGACGGAGCTGGTCCAGCAAGCCGGATCCCCCGAGCGCTTCTACCAGCCTGTCTGCCACCAGGCAACCCCGCTCCGCGGCCAGGAGGTGGAGCACACGGACCGGAGGGAAGGGGCGCGCTGCCCTCGGGACGTGGTTCAAGGCTCGGCCCTGGAGAGTGTGGTAGACCGGAAGGACCTGCAGGAGTTCGGTTAGCTGGGACGTCAGGCCCAGGCTGGAGGGTGCCCGGCCCAGGGCGCGAAGCTGCATCTCGATGGCAGCCTCCAGGTGCTGGGTAGCTAGTCCGATGGGGCGGCCAAGGAGTAGCGGCTCGGGAGTGGTCCGACGGCCGAGGCGCTTGCCCTCTCCTCGGGAAGGGCACAGCGGCAGATCCCTGCACAGCTGGGGCAGGGTGTCAGGCGCGCGGGGCCCGAGGAGGCGCAGGACCGCCTGTAGATGGCGGGCGCAGTCCCGGGCCTGCAGAAGCTGCTCGCGTTCCCGGTACAACCGCAATAACACCGCCCGAAGACGCTGCAGCGCGGCGGGCACCGGGCCGCCCGCCGACGGCTCCCGCCTCCGCTCTGCCGCACCAGCCTCGGGGTCCTCGCCGGCATCAGCCAACGCTGGGCCCCACGGCTGCCTTCCCGGACCTCCGGCCGGACGACGGTCCAGGCCAGGGATGCTCCCGGCAGCCGGCGGCCCTGGCCGGCGCTCCTCCTGAGAAAGAGTGCCTGTCCGGCTTCCCTCTTCCAGCTCCTCCCCAGCGCCCCCGGGGTGCGCCCAGGGCGAGGACAAGTTAGCGACTGGAGGGAGAAGGCCACCCGACCAGGACGCCTGTGCCATGGGACTGCGAGAACCTAACGATCTCCACCCTCCCGCACCCCACACCGCTCAACGCCCGCGGGCGGCGGGGCTCCCAGCTGCATCCCGAGAACCGGCTCTCTCCCGCGAGCGGCCGGAAACTTCTAGGTCTCTCTGGTGCTCGGTAGTCATCAGCATCTGCCCCTAACAAAGATGGCAGTCCACGCGCTCTTCCCATTCCTACCACCCTCGCCCCGCCCCGCCCTTTGGGGAATATCAAATTCTATTCATTTTCCTGTCACTGTTGGACGAGAGGTGGCGCTGATACCAAGCTCTGTAGGATGAATTAAGCTAAGTGAACAAAGTGATAAGGCAGTAGGAGGATCAGGAGAGATAGATCCCTTGAGTCTACCAGGGTCTGGGATGTTCTCAGGATTTTAGGCTTCAGGTAGAGGGTTGGGGGCTCTGGTCCATTCATCCCCGATCTCCTGACGCCGCACCACCTTCCTTTCCTGCCGGTTGGGATCGTTGCTGTTCCTGAAGTCTGCAAGGAACTCAGACCAGAGGACTACGGAAAAGAAGAAAAAGAGACCCCGACCCCGGCTTCCCCCTACCCAGATCATCTCCTCCTCGTTTTCTTTCAGTGAGCTCTGCGCCTCACCAGTTCTGGCAGTTTGGGAACAAGTAGGTCTGGTCCTACACTTAAAAGTCCTAGGCAAAGGAGGAACAGGGACACCCCCTCCGCCATGATGATCCTGCTGTAATAAATGCACAAATCAGGCAGAATTGAGAGCCAAGGGTCTCAAAGTGGAGGTGTAGGCAGTGGTTATGAGTGCCTTTGGAAAGATACTGTGAGCAGATGACAGTCTAAATAAAGACACTAAGGCAAGGGAAGGAGCATCACAGCCTGGAGTGATGGTTGACACCTGTAATCCCAGCACTCAGCATTCAGGATGTTGAGGCAGGAGGAATGCCTCAAGGTCGCTTGGGCAACCTAGTTTCAGGCCAGACTGGGCTACAGTGTTGAGACCCAGTAGAGGAGGGGAGGAGGGACAGGAGAGGAGGGGAGGGAAGGGGAGGGGAGGGGAGGAAGAGAAAGAGAAAGAGAAAAAGTGCGAGCCCATCCCCTGGGGGCATCAAGGGAGGATGCAGACCTCCAAGACTCACCGAAGTGTACCCTTGAGATGCTACCACAGCCAGCAGGGGGCAGCCAAGTTTACCCTGCTTCTGGAGCTTGGGTTATTCATTGGTTCGCTAGAGCTCTTTGCTTAGAAGCTGGGTCACAGTGATAGATAAAGTTGAATCACACCCTTCATCCTGATGGATGCTCACCCTCCCTCATTCCATTATTTGTTCTAGCCACAGCTCTAGGTTTGCTCCTAGCTGCTGGTGACATTTCCTGTCTGTTGCTATGTACCCTCTGACCTCTCATCTATTCAATGATCAAATTCCCACCTCCTCCCCCAGCTGGAAGATTTTTAAGGGTTTGTATTTGCCAAGTCCCTTCCTAGCCCCTGGTCATCCCCCTCCCCCACAAATGGGCAGGTCTCTCAACGTTTTAGCTCAGTTCCTTCATCTGTATCACAAGGGAAATCCCTGCCTCACAGGGCTGTTACAAGGACTAGAGAAAGATGAGAAAATACCCTTAAGAGTTGCTAAATAAGTCAATCTTTGTCTACAAGTGCCCTATGTATTTATGACTCCCGGGATGGAAAGAGGGGTGCAAGTGTATTGCTTCTTAAGTGAATAAAACCCAAAATTCCTGGGACTGTGGATCTACAAGTGTAGTCTCTAGACTGGCACCAAGAATATCACCCAGGAAACATGGACTCAAACATTCAGGCAACAGGCCAGGACTTTTAATCAAGCTGGAGACCATGGTGGAGGCAGCAGTTTGTGTATAGTAAGCCTTCTAGGTAATCATGTTCCAAATTCTTCTTATGTGTGTGCATGTATGTGTGGTATATACACACATGTTTGGGCTATAAATGCACATGAGGTCAGAGGAGTACATCAAGTGTCTTCCTCTATCGCTTTCCATCTTTTTTAAAAAATAGAATTTGTTAAGCCGGGTATGGTGGCGCACACCTTTAATCCCAGCACTGGGGAGGCAGAGGCAGGTGGATCTCTGTGAGTTCAAGGCCAGCCTGGTCTACATAGTGAGTTCCAGGCCAGCTGGGGCTACAGGGAGACCCTGTCTCAAAAAGAAAAAAAAAATAGAATTTGTTGTTTATTTGTACCTGTCTACTCCTTTGAGGGGTGGAGTATGAGGTTGGAGACCCAGGGGGAAGCAGGTGAAGACAAATTCCTGACCTACAGGACTCCAGGCCCAACCTGAAGTCTCAGATGGACTTGGTTTTGGGCCTGGGATCTTGGTGTCTCAGGATTGAAGGAGAGGAGCAAAGAAAAGTCCTCAGGTCTCCAGGGCTTCTCTTCCTGAGATTCGGGTCCTAGACTGGCCCAGCCACAAGCAAGGGCTCAGGAAGGGACCCACTTGGGTATGAGTGTTCATGAGCTGACCCCAGCTGGGATGGCTGTCAGCTGCAGACCTACCCAGGCCTAAACATGAGGGCAAGGAGGGCCAGGAAGTCCAGCAGCCCCAGCAGGAGCCACAGCCTCCCTGACTGGTATAAGGCCAGCAGCAGGATCTGTCATAGTTCAACATCTCCATGGAGGCCAGCTAGCTCAGTCATCATCCTGTGTGTCATATACCTTCCCTGAGGCATGAGTCAGGTATTTGGTACTGTGCATGTGGATAACTGTATGCTGCTTGGGCCTGGTTTGGGGAAGGAGTGGGTGGGGATAGGGGCTGGCGATAGAAGGCTAGAGTAGCATTGTGCTGTCTATCTCCTGCTCAGGGGTCCTGTAGCATTAAAGCTCAACCTGTCAGAGAAATCTGAGGGCTCATCACCTCATTCATCTGGGGGAGGCCCAGTCCTGCCCGGCCCTTGGGGCAGCCAGGCTGACCTGGGGGAGGGAGATGAGGCCTTTGCAGCTGGGGTACTGGTAGCCTGCAGATGCTGTGTTTGGAGTAACTGAGTGGCATATTCATCGATGCAGGTCCAGTGAAGAGAGCATAACAGATAAGGTGGGTTGTCTCCTGCTGGCCGGGGCTGTGTTGCGCACAGGCAGCAATTGGAGTTGTAGTCACTATCTAGGAGCCACTGCAAACAGACTGCATTATGTACTTGGCTAGATTGGCTACCAAGCAGTGCTCACAGACTTTAACTCAGTGTTGGAAGCAGAACAAGTGTGTCACTTTCCCCTTGGGGCACTTGCAAAATTCCATGACCCATCTGAACCTCAGCAGTACTAGTACTGAAAGTAAGAGCATGGTTTGAGGAGCAGAATGGAAGGCCAAAGACTGCACTCACCTGCTTCCATAACTCTGATGCTGCTCTCTTCCATATCCATATTTTTTGAACTTTTTGAGACAGGATCTCCCTGTAGCCCCAGTTGGCCATGGAACCCACTGTGTAGACCAGGTTGGCCTTGAACTTACAGAGATCTGCCTGCTTCTGCCTCCCAAGTGCTGGGATTAAAGTTGTGTGCCACTATGCCTGGCCATATTTTTTTTAAGTCAGGGTCTCACTATGTAGCCCTAGCTGGCCTAGAATTCCCTATGATAACCAGGCTGGCCTCAAACTCACTATCTAGCCAAGGATGACCTAAAACTTCTGATTCTCCTGCTTCCACTTTCCAAGTACTGGGATTGTATATTATATGTCTGTGCCACCCCACCTGATTTATTCTGTGCTGGGGATAAAACCCAGAGCTGTATGCCTGCTAGTCAAGCACTCTACCACCTGAGCTAATCCTGAAGCTCGTTTGCTTTTTTGGTTTGGGTTTGTATTTTGAGACAGGGTCATACTATGTAACCCAACTTGTACCTATATAACTCATTCTGGCCTTGAACTCACAATCTTCCTGCATCAGCCTCCCAGTTAATCAGATTACAGGTATAGACTACCATACCTGGCTTCCAGTTGCAGTTTTGTTATCCAAGACTGGAGCATTACAGCCTGCAGCACTAGCTGAGCCAGAATTTAGGAAATCTCAAAAGAAGTTTATAGCCATGGTGCACACCTTTCTCCCAGTACTTGGGAGGCAGAGGCGGCCAGATCTCTCTGAGTTCCAGGCCTGCCTCATCTACATAGTGAGTTCCAGGTCAGCTGGGGCTATGGGGCAACTCTGTCTCAAAAAAAGACAAAAAAGAAGAAGAAAAAAGAAAAGAAAAAAAGAAGTTTATGTCTCAGAGCCCATTAACTTAACCCTGTCTTCTCAGCTAGAATGAATTGCTAGATTTCTTTGTTAGTTCCTGTTTGGGAGTGGGGTGGAGGAGAGGTGGTAGGTTTTGTTTAAGGGAGTAATTCTATTACAGTGACTCCTTGAGATGCCTGCCTATCTGGCCTTCCAGGATTCTGCTTGGCTTTTTGTTTGTTTTGATTTTTGCCTTCTTGGGTTGCAAGGTCAGCCCTGAATGCTTCAGAGACTTTACTAGAACTCCTGGTCCTTCAAAGAGTGTCCCCATTATCGCATGGTATTTTAGCCTCCAGCCATGTTCAACCTTTTTTCTGACCCTATGCTGGGAGCTGAATCCAAGGCCTTGGTGAAAACCTTTAAGCCCAGCAAAGGTAGGCCGAGTTCTATGAGTTCAAAGCCAGCCTGGTCTATATAGAGAGTTCCAGGTCAGCTGGGGCTACAGGGAGACCCTGTCTCAAAAAGACCAAAAACAAAAACAAAGAGGTGAAAGGTCTGGAGAGATGGCAGTAGCTCAATAGTTAAAAGTGCATATGTTTCTCTCTTCTCTCTCTCTCTCTCTCTCTCTCTCTCTCTCTCTCTCTCTCTCTGTCCCTGTCTCTGTCTCTCTCTCCAGTCTCACTACATAGTTCTGGCCTGAACTCACAGAAATCCAATCAAAGGCCTATGCCACCATGCTCAGCACACATACTGCTCTTACAGAGACACCAGCTCAGTTCCTAGTACCCATGTCATAACTCCACCTCCAGGGGGATCTGATGCCTCTGGACTCCGAGGGCACCCACACTCATGTGTACATGAAACACACAGACACACACAGATACACACAGACACACACACACACACACACACACACACATATATATAATTAGAAATAAAATAAATCTTAAAAACAAATAAGGTGGAGAGTGACTGAGGAAGTCACCTGATACTGACCTCTGGCCTCCATGCACATTCACACACACATACATGCACACTGGCACACACATGCACACATACAAATATTTAGTGCAACCCTACACACACCAAATACATAGCAAAAAAAATAATGTTTGAAGTCAGTTTACAGTTTTATGTTGGGCCACATTCATAGCTATCCTCACACGGGGTGTTGAATACACCTTCAAACAATGTTCCCTCTCCAGGCCCTCTTAGCAGCTTCTGAATTTAAATCACAGGACCCTTTACATCTTGCCCCCAGTTTGCTGCACACCAACCACTTCCAATTGATAAGATTCTGACCTAGGAGCCCAAGTTCAGACTCTTCAGAAAAGGCAATGCTCAGCCATTCTGGTTTTCCTAGGGTGTGGGTCTATAAGTACTAACGCTGGGACAGTGCTGGGCAACATGGCGGGGCTGAACACCTTCTGGACTGGTTCCAGAGGCAGCCTAGAAGGTGGTGAAGGAACGAGGGACAGGAGCCAGGGTGTGTGTGTTACCTATGTATATGGAAAGGACAGTGCAGTTGCAAAGAATACTTTTTTTATTGTTTTTATTTTATGTGTATGAGTGTAATGGCTGCAAGTAAGTAAGTGTACCTGTGTCCTGCAATGCCCACGGAGGTCAAAGGGTGTTGGATTCTCCTGGAACTGGAGTTAGGGATGGTTGTTAGCCCCCATGTGGGTGCTGGGAATTGAACTTGGGTCCTCTGCAAGAGCAGCTGGTGCTCTTAACTGCTGTGTCATCTCTTCAGCCCCATGTCTTAGCTCTGCATCAGTGGTTATTGTTTCTGTTCCCATGCCATTTTTCTTCCAGTTGTTGAGTTTTTAAGGTCGTCAGTGACTCATACAGTCCTGGTCACTAGGAGAATCACAGGCTTCTCCTATGACTACCCCTACACATCTCCCAAGTCCAGTCCTGAATTGTGTGGCCACTACCCTAGCAGTGGCCAAAGAAACAACCCCTTCCTGAAGGCCTCTGTCAGTCACACACATACCACCATATCAGCCTGCCCTGAACTTATCTCACTTCTCTAAAGCCTGGGGGACAATGCTTTAGCTACAGTTTTAGTGCCCAAATTCCTTCCTTGGCCCTCTCTCCTCTCCCTGTAAATCTGTGTCTTCAGCTACCTCTGCAGGGTCAGCACCTGCAGTGGCCAAAAATGTGCTTTTGTGTCAGAAAAACATAAAAATGAAGATGAGCCTCACTACTACCTTCAAGGGGCATGTCTTCAGCCTTCTATAATTCAGTCTCCTTATCCTTAATATGAGAATAAGCAACTGTCCTGGTGGGTTATTCTTATGATTAATTCTCCCAAAGCACTTGGTTACTATATGAGAACACCAGGATCACTCCTGCCTCCCAGCCCTATTCACCCTTCCTGGAATATTTTTCCCTGACCCTCCACCTGCAGCTGAAGCCCTGGCTGGTTTATGGTCTCCTAAAGATTGACAGAGTGGGACTGGAGGTGCAGCTCAGTAGGGGAGTGCTTGTCTAGCATGCATGAGGCCTGAGCTCAATCACTATCAACGTCAAGAAGGTTGACAGGATGGCCTGTAGCTACCCAGTGCTCCCTCCCTCCCTTTATAGGAGGGTGATTAATGGCCAGCAGAATAAATGAATGTCAGTGATGTCACCAGTGGAGCCAGGCTAGGATGCCTTCATAGCAATCACAGCTACTCTGAGTGCCTCTCAGGAGTCAGGCATTCTCACTCTCCTACTGTTTGGTCTTGGTGAGACACCCATGCTCATCTTCATTTTTATGTTTTTCTGACACAAAAGCACATTTTTGGCCACTGCAGGTGCTGACCCTGCAGAGGTAGCTGAAGACACAGATTTACAGGGAGAGGAGAGAGGGCCAAGGAAGGAATTTGGGCACTAAACTGTAGCTAATGCACTGTCCCCCAGGCTTTAGAGAAGTGAGATAAGTTCAGGGCAGGCTGATATGGTGGTATGTGTGTGACTGAGAAGCTAGAGGTCCCAAAGGTAGAAGCAGGTTTGCCCTCTTTCCAGACACTAGTGTGTGTGTGTGAGGGGGCCTGAGAACAAGAGCTCATGTAACCTAGAGGAGCCTAGAATGCCTGATACTCCGGTCTTCACCTCCCAAGGGCTGGAATCCAGATGTACCCCTGCACCTTATGCAGGCAAGGACAAAGGCTAGAGAACCTATTAGAACTTGCCTAAGGGTAGAGAAGGGAAAGAATCAAGTTATCATACTGGGGGCAGCCAAGGTTAGTACTGAAGTTTCCAAGGATGCAGGTAGACTTCTGGGAACAAAGGAGGCCAGTAGGAATGCAGTGACCAGAAGCAACTGCTAGAGTCCTGTCCACTTTCTGTCCACCCTATGTCTCCCAAGCAGAAGGAAAAGTGGGGTCTCTGAAGGGTGGATGATGCTGACTCCAAATTCTGAGCCCCGGGTTCTTTTGAAAAAATGGGCATAGCTAGTGACCTACCTTCTAAGGTACGAGGCTAAAGAAAGCACTGCATGGCAACAGCACCGAATCTCCCAATAGGCAGCAGATTGTGTTGGTTTGGGCTCTGGGCATCCAGGATTGAGGCACTTGGCAGCTGAGTTTAGGCTTTTATTCTCAACAAGAAAGGTAGGCGTGTGGACTAGGGAGAGAACAGTCCTGGGTGGACCTCTCCCCTCTACCTGGGAACCCAAAGAGTGCTCAAAGTGGAAGTGAGGAGTCCAGGACTGACAGCCAGCCGCTTTGCCTTCAATCATCCACCCGTATCTCTTCCTCTGATAGGTGTGGCTGGGAATCAGGAGCTGTAGTGCACCGGCCAGGGCTTGAAGTACTGTCAGGCAGTGCTAAGTGACACAGGACTCCCGGGGACAATGCGCGTAGGGAGGCCACATCGGCGCGCATCTCCTCCACATCCCGCTTGAGCTTGGCGCGGCGGTTCTGGAACCAAGTGACCACTTGCGCATTGGCCAGGCCGAGTCGCGCAGCCAGTCCGTCTCGTTCTGATGGTGCCAAATACTTCTGGAAGACGAAACGCCGCTCCAACTCCAGCACCTGCTGCGCAGTGAACGCCGTTCGAGACTTGCGGCGTCTCCGGCCACCAGCTCCAGGACCCGGCGGCGCCTCTGGGGCGGCTCTGCCTGTGGGGATAGGGCGGATATAAGTCAGTCTCCGGGTCTGGAGAAGCAGGCTATGGTCTGGAAGGAGAAGCAAGGGGCGCGGGGGTCAGGCAGATGGGGGACCATAGTCACGATCCCTTAAGACCGGGTCAGGCCCAGTTGTGGGTAGGATGCAAAAAGTAGGCCCCTGGGGTGTTGGAGACTGGGCGGTGACGGAGAGTTGCTCCCTCAGGGAAGTGGGTGAGGGTGAGTCCAACCCAGGAGATAGGTGCCGGGGCCAGGCCATTTGGAGAGAAGCGTGGTAGTAGGTCACAGGCAGCCAGAGTGGAGTCAGGCCACCCTGCCGGCCTTGCGGCCACCGGGCAACTCTTACTTCCACCCCAGAGCCGTGTGGGGCACACTGCTTCACTTCTTTAGTGAGCCCCAGAGCCCCAGAGGCACACAGTGGGAACTCCCTGAGCCCCAGAGGCACACAGTGGGAACTCGGGGAGGAAAGGGAGGCAGAGCCGTGGTGCCTGTGCGGAGTGGAGCGCCGGGGACCTCCTTGCCACGGCTGGAGAAGAGAGGGACTGGGATCCGGGCGGGGTCCTCGGGAGATCGCCCGAGCTTTCTGCCTTGTCCTAGCCTGGCTCCTTCATTTATGGCCTGCGACTCAAGCCTTTTGTCTCCTCCGCGGCCTTTTTAGGTTGCGATTGCCCGCGTACAGCGAACGCATCGGCGGGTCGTTTTTCCCCAGCCCGCCCTACCCCGCGGCGCTGGCGACTCCTGGGAGCAGCTGCAGAGTCTGGGCAACGCTGGGCACCTGCGGAACCGAGATGCAACTCCAGACACCCGAACGGAGGGCGGAGGGGGGTGGGGGGCAAGCAAGGGTGATCCGGACAGAGTGGGAAAAAGTGGAAAGCATCAGACAAGCTTGGTGCAAAGTAGAAGATGAGGAGAGAGGAAAAGGGAGGGGGAGGGGGGAGGGAGAGAGAGAGAGCCAGAGCCGAGTTGAGTCCGCCACTTTGCAGGTTGTACCTTGAGAAGGCTGTGCAGCAGCGCGCGGGTCAAGTCCCAAGAAGATTTTACTAGCCAGCTCTTCCAGCGCGCACAGCGGCGACGCGGGATCGGGGCCGGCAGTAGGAAGCTGTGGAGCAGAGGGTGCTCGAGGAACCATGCTCTGGCCTAGAATGTCCGCGATGCTGAAGGGTGTACGGGGCTGGCGTCCCGAGTTCATGGCAATCCGGGATGTGGCGATCCCGCCTCCCGCTGCGTTTGGCTCCACGGCGGCCTGGGCCCCTAGCACTCGCTCCCGATCTGGGCCTCCTGCCTCGGATCCGCCCCCTAGAATTGGGCTGGAGCCCCATGTCCCCTCCTTCTGCACCCCCACCTCCTTCCAGGGGTCGCGATGAATCTGGAGCTCGTAGGTGGCCCGGCAGCCTTATTTCTTCTATAGGGTGGAAAGGCCCTGAGAGAGGCGGATTGCTCCTGGATGTGTGGCGTCGCCCGGTGCTCTTTCAAATTGGGTTCATTCCTCTTGTCTCCTCTTGCCGCCGGCTCTCTGTAGCCGCCGCTCTGGCTCATAAACTCTTGGGCAATAAAATTGCTTTCTCTGACCCAAACGACAGGAGATTTACAAAGTTTCAAGAAAAAGGATGAGGGCTAATTGTGTTAGGATCCTGGATCTTAGCTAGGAACTCACTATCCTAACCTGGTTTTAACCTCACCAAATCCTGGGGAGCCTCTTAAAGAGATCTAGGTGGCTGGAAGTGATTAATGGGCTGGGGGTTGGAGGGATGTCATGATGCAAGATTTGGGAGAACCTGGCCTAGTTGAACGACTTCAGTAATAGATACCACAAGGAATGGGGGCAGGTGAATTCTTTATGCCTGATCCCAGAGGTCCCAATTGAGCCAAAACAAGATGCTTCCAGAGGCTGCCTTTAAGCACACACCTTTAATCCCAGCACTCTGGAAGTCAGAGGAAGATGGAGCTTTGTGAGTTCACTGCCAGCCTCACTCTACATAGTGAGTTCCAGGCCAGCCAGTAGTAGTGAGACCCTGTTTCAAAACAAAAAAGAAGCTTCCAGCGATGTAGGCTGGCACTACTTCTCAAGAGGGGTCCTTGTCAGTGAGGTCTGGTCTCTATTGGTTTACCAGTGGGTCTGTCTGTCTTTTTACTAAGTTCTCATAGTTCAGATGTAGTTTCTCTGTGTGGTCACTTGCCATGGAAGACCAAACTGAAGAGTAGACTTCACTGACCTAAGCCAGATAGGATAGACACCTCAGGCACAAACTACAAGGCTTAGTCTGTTCATCCCTTTTGGTTCTACTCTGTCTTCCTTCTCTTCCACATTTTTGGTCCTAGGTTCACATCTGGGTTAGCCCTCCAAAACCTTCTTGTGTTGAAACCAGGCAGCTCTGGGACAACAGAGCCGGGCCAGTGGAAGTTGAATAGGCCTTGGTTTTTATCATGTATCCCACCCCAAATAGTTGAAGTCTTCACAGTTTACTGGAAGAGAAATCATGCTTCTCTAGATAATTAGTTTACTTGTGGTTGAGCTAGGGTCTCACTGTATAGCCCCAACTCAACTCAAACTCAAGGTAAAATGTTTGCCTCAGTCTCCTGTAGAATGAGCCACTGGGCCCAGCTGAAACTAATCTTCCTATCTTTGCTTGTTTTGTTGATAGTGTGATGAAGAACCAGCCAGCATTACCTGGGCTGTCCCTCATGTCATTTTCCCTGCAGGCATCTGCATCTCCTGCTGTTTGTTCAATGTCCACTTGTCTACTCTCTGAGGCAACTGGACCTTAGAGTTGGGGTACCCCAAAGAGGGCTTCTGGGTACCTGGGCCAAAGGCTTCTTGGCAACACTGGGATGCCTCACTTGATAATGGGAGGGTCTTCTTGCTAAAGGGTCCCTCTGACACCTGCCAGCCTTCATTCAGACATCCAAATCCTCACATAGCACAGATCATTCTTGCAGCTCAGGGGACACTCTTGAAGCTCAATGTGCCACTGCAGGGTCAGAGAGCAGAGACAGGACACAGTGGAAAGCTGAGCTGCTTCAGAACCTTGTTAACTGGTTATTAATAGGGGGTGGGGTGGAAAGGGCAGTAGAGAGACAGCCTCCTGTTGCAGGCCTCAGCCCTCAGCATAATCCTTGTGGTTTCACTTAATCTGCAATTAAAGCAGATCCCAGGAGACAGCAGGAACAGCCCTATTGCATCCCAGGCATGTCACCCAACAGATGCAGCAACCTTCCCTCACCCATCCATTATGGGGCTTTTATGTCCTTTTTACCTCTGCTCTCAATTACTCCTGTGTATGAGGAGTCGGGGGCTCTGAGAGGCACTGCCTTCCTCTTCTACCTCTCTGTCCTACCTTCCTTCTGCAGACGGGCTCAGGTAACAGGATTGAATGATCCTCAGGAGTTTGGGGGAAGACAGGGAAGTGGAGACTGGTAAAGGAAAGATGCCCCCAGTAGCAGAGACTGACCAAGGACATCCCAATGCCCAGGGGCAGTCCAGACTATCCTGGGGCCACCGACAGGGGTAAAGCGTCTGGAACTTGAGCTAGGAAGAAACCGGATCCATGTACGGGGGTGGGTGGAGGGTGAGTGATTAATGAGGGAGATTAAGAGATTAAACTGAAGCTCTGGGCTTGAGGGGGCCCTCAGCTGTCCCCTAGACTTTCCCCTACCATGGCTGGGGAGTATGGAAGCTCCCAGTGGCCAGTTGTTCACTTGCAGGTCCAGTACTTTCAGTTCTCAGTTTTGCTGTCATACTCAGGCAATTTCTCTGGTTTCCAATCTCCTCAGACTCTCTGCATTGACCCTTCAGACACTTTGGGGGTCATTTGCTCCCTCATAGAAATGCTCTTATTCCCATATTTGATCCCTCAGGACACCCCCACTTCTCACCCAAGGGTTCCTCCAACCACCCAGGCTGCACCAGCTCACCATTCCCTTTTGGCATATAGTTCTGCTCAATAAATGACTTTTAGTCTCAAAGTGGCTCACCTGTGACTCCCTTTGAGCAAGTGGGATAGGAGGCCCCTCAGAATAACAGGTTTGGGGGTAGTAACAAAACAATCATGTCAGAGACCTTGGTGACTTATGCCTTCCCACCCCTAGGGAAAACTGTGAACCATAAGGAGAGGGAAATGGAAATAAATACAGGGAGAAAAATTCAGGTTCATGACTATAATCCCAATACTTGAGAGGTTGAGGCTGGAGAATTACCATGAGTTTGAGGCCAGCCTGGGTTTTGGAGTGAGCTCCAGGCTGGCCTGACCTATAAAGTATGATCCTTGTCTCAAAACCCAAAAAGAAAGGAAAGAAGAAAGAAAAAGAAAGAAAGAGAGAAAGAGAGAGAATGAAAGGAAGAAAGAAAAAAACAAAACAAAACAAAAAACCCAAAAAACATTCCCTGCACTTCTGGGTGGTTTTCTTTTGGGAACCAGGCTGAGTGTTGAGACAGGGGCTCCTTATGTAGCCCAGCCTGGCCTAGAATTCATGGCTCTCCTCTTGCCTCAGCCTCAGCCTGCTGGGTTTACAGGCAGTGAGTTACCACACTGAGGCTTGGTTGACTGATTCTCACCATCAAACTTTACTGTCCTTTACTGGCCCGGGGACAGGGGCTGCACCTTCAGACCTTCCTGCTCACTATAGAAAAGTCCTTTCCCCTACTTGACTTGGGAGAGACTGGGCAAGCTAAGTAAGGGACCTGTTCTCTGAGTCAAAGATGGGCGGTCCAGTAGCGTGGAGAGCAGAGAAACCTGACCGCCAGGAAGGTAGGGAACATAACGGGATGGGCTGGCCTTGCTGGGCAGGACCACCTTCTTCCCTCCAGTGCAGCAGGACAAGGGCACCCCTAGCTGGGCAGGCAGAGTTGCATCTCTTGGGACTCCTAAGATGACTGTGCTCCTTTGTGCTCTGGGTCCCCCAGAGAACCATGGACCTGATTTGCTAACAGATCAAGACACGAGTGACCTCTAGGTCAGAGTGGAAAAGGAAAGGGAGCCTGCAGCTGGTCAGCACCAGCTACCACTGGAGACATGCCAGCTGCCACCACCATTGCTCTAACAGGAAGCAGGCTGTGGTGGCCAGCTGCAACAGAGCTGGGCAGAGGCACCGCAACTGCTCTATCCAGACCCAAGTCTGGGCATCATAGGCTCTCCTGAGCCTCAGAGCCTCCAGGCTCCTGGACACCCTACTCTCCTAGCTTGACTTTAAAAAGGGTTACATATATAACCTTATATTTACTTGGGTGGGGTGGGCCTGAAGTTCCACTTTTTTTGTATTTGCCAAGTCCAGTGGACTAGGATGCCTTAGTCTCCTGGCCTGACTTGGTGTTTTTTGGGTTTTTGTTTTTTGATATTTTGAGACAGGGTCTCCCCAGGTAGCCCCAGCTGGCCTGGAACTAGACCAGGCTAGCCTTAAACTCAGATCTGCCTGCCTCTGCTTCCCAAAGTGCTATGACTGACTTGGTTTTTTAAAATATTTATTGTTAGCCCGGCGTGGTGGCACACGCCTTTAATCCCAGCACTTGGAAGGCAGAGGCAGGCAGATCTTTGTGAGTTTGAGGCCAGCCTGGTCTACATAGTGAGTTCCAGGACAGCTGGAGCTACAGGGATACCCTGTCTCAAAGACAAAAAAAAAAAAAATATTGTGTATGTGTGTGTGTGGGGGGGTGCTCAAGTTATGCTCTTTTTTTCAATTGCTGAGTTGCTGCCAAGCTCAAACCCAAGCACCTTCACAGAATACCCAAACTGACTGCCCAACTCCCTCTGAAGCACTTCCCTCCTCCTTCCTATTGGCCAATCACTCCTAGGAAATGCAGGTAGATGCACAGACCCTTGAGAACACCCTAGGTGCCCAGTACTTGAGTGTGCCCCAAACTTGCAGAATTTAGATTTGGAAAGGAGTGGGGAGCACTTCAATAGATACATTTAACAAAACACACTGGAGTTGAGGTTGGCTCAAAGGTGCTAGAAGTAGCTCTGGTGTTCATAGGGGAGGGATTCCTGGAGGAGGCAAGATTCCTCACCTCCCCCAACCAGGAGCATTATAGGACCCAAAATCAGGAAGTTTTAGGGATCCTGGCAACTGTGTAGAGAAGGAATTGTAGCAGGTCCTATCCCCACCGTGTCACCCGCTCCAGCTAATCAAGCACTTTTGTTGTTGTTGAGACAAGGTCTCACTATGTAGCACTGACTGGCCTGAAACTTGGTTTACAGATCAAGCTAGCCTGAACTGACAGAGATCAGCCTACCTCTGCCTCCCAACTGCTAGGATTACAGGTATGTGCCACCAAGCCTGGTTGAAGCACCTTTTTATTGTTGGAGACAACAATCCTCTGGTCTCAGCTTCCTAAATGCTGGAATTACAGGCAGGAGCTGCCATATGGGCCTAGCTTTTATTATTTTTGAGACAGGGTCTCCCTGTAGCCCCAGCAGGTCTGAAGCTCACTATGTAGACCAGGCTGGCCTCAGACTCAGAGATCTATTTGCCTCTGCCTCCCAGTGCTGGGATTAAAGGAGTGTACCACCATACCCTTGAGTACCTAGCTCTTTTTTTAACATCCTCTGCAGCACTCTCCACATGGCCCTATACTCTCCATGCACTAAGTAGCATGGTAGGGCTTCCAGACACTGTAACAGAAGCTAGAAAAGCTCCAGGTGCAGCTTCGGTTTTTCCTTCAAAGTCTCGGGCTTTCTTAGTCTACTCAGGTTCACCCATGTCTTCAGTCATCTGGCCTCCATCCATGGAAAGAGTCTTCCAATCTCACCAGCTCTGTACCAGGACACCCTTGAACTCCAGGAATCATGGTGATTTAGGCTTTACAACCAGATTTGCCCAACACTACACAGACTGCTTCATGTAACTTGTCCTAGATTGGGCAAGAGCCTGTTGCCTCCTGCAGGAAGTGCTGCCTGTGGCCTCTGTCTCTTATGGTACCAATTGGGTGACTTCCTGGCTCTCAGACATAGATGCCCATAGAACCAGGACACTGGCTGGGTTTATTGCCAAAGCTCAGCATGCATGGCTGGGCTTATACAGACAAGGAATGTTTGGGAATTCATCAGCAGAGCCCACCCCTGGCCACTTCCCTCTTCTCTTTGAAGCTCCTTTTCTTCCTTAAATTGCTTCTTATTCTCCACATCGATTCCTTCTCCTAATTACCCTTTCTCCATCCTGGTTTCACTTACTCCCCTTGCCCAAAGCTCACTGAATCCTGTGTGGACAGTGACTGAATTCAGATCTGCCCCACCAGATTCCACTTGTCAGATCCTCCTCCTTGTTTCTATTTCTATTTCTCAGAACCAGGTGTGATTCTCTGGATTTTTCCTCAAATATCACTTCTCTTCCTCTTCATCCCTTGCAGTGGGTCATGCTTCATCCTCTCCAGACATAAGTTGAGACATTTCCCCTGAGGCAGGTGCCATATGCTACAGCACACAAGGATGGTGAGAGCTGCCATCAGAAAGCCTGTCTTCACCGAAGTGCTGGTGAGAGGAGCCAGGTTTCAGTTAGTTCGCTGTGGGCCTGTACCCCTTTTCTTCCCCTCTCCTTAGGCAAGCCACTGGGGACACTTGGTAGAGAGCTGAGAGAGTTCTGAGGGAATTAGGACACAGGACAAAGCCTGTGTGTAGGAGGGAGAAGGAAAAAGAGAGGTGCTTTTTAAAAGCTTTTATTTCAAAAAATAAAGCCACAGTTAATTTCACATAAATATCTGGGGAGGGAAGAGGGAGGGGATGGAAGTAGGTTTGGCCTCTACCTCCTCTTCTCTTTCACACTGTATTGTAAAAGTAAAGGAGATGGCTAAGGAGACAAGAGAAAGAATAAGTCAGTGGGCTGTTACCACCTGCAGGGCCCCTCAGCCCAGAGGTCCAGGCTTACCTTGCCGAACCAGCGGGACAGCCATATCTGCTTCATTGTCATGTGATCAGGGAGAACTTCATTGTCAAAAAGGAGCTGTACCTAGGAGGGAGGGGAACAGGTTTACCTTCTTCTTGGTAGTTCTAGACCAAACTTTGCCCCAGACTTTGTCCCTCCTTGTATGTTCATGTCTGTGTGCAGGTGTACATGTGTGGGCATGTTTGTGGAGGCCAGAGGACAACCAAGAGTGTTGTTTCTCAGGTTCCAGCCACCATTTTCTTTTTTTTACAAGTAGGCTACACTAGCCAGCAAGCCACAGAAATCTGTTGTTCTGCCTCATCAGTTTTTTTTTGAAACTGGAGTTACAGATGGTTGTTAGCCACCATGTGGGTGCTGGGATTCAAACTCAGTCTTCTATAAGAACAGCCAGCGCTCTTAACTGGGTCATCTCTCCAGTCTCTGTAATTCTTTTTTTTTTTGTTTTTTTTAAATTTGTTTTTATTTTTATTTTTGAAGACAAAACTAGCCTTGGATTTGGTATGTGGCCAAAGTTGGCTTTGAGCTTGCAGTAATCTTCCTGCATGCTGGGATTACAGGCCCAAACCACCACGCCCAGCATATCCCTTCCCTTTTAGCCTCTTATCCTTTAAAAAAAAAAAAACCTAATGTGGAATTACTTACATGTTGTGGATTTAGCATCAATCGGTGACACAGAACCCTCCGCAGATGGCGTACTTCAGCTCTAACAGAGCATCGGACATACTTGTTCTAGGATTGGGGAAAGGAGGGAAGAGCACAGACATTTGAGGGAAGGGTCACTGGGAGAAGAGTCTCCTTAGAGAGGCCCTCCCTTCAAGCCTTCTTACCTGAAGCACATTTTTATTCTTGTCTTTGCCAGAACTGAAGGGAAATAGACACAGGTTAGAAAATGCCATCTTTCCTTTTCTTTTCTACCGAGTGTCATGGTATACCCTCTTCAAGGGAACACATATTCCTTCATTCCTCTGATCTCTCCTCAAGCCCTTTTACTGACTCTGGGTCACCAGTTTCAGTAGTGCTACCTCACACAACCCCTGACCTGACCCTCACCTTAGCCGCTCCAGGCACAGGCTCAGCTGCTCATCATAGCGATAGTAGTGGGCTTTAGAGTGGTCAAAGCTGCTGAAGGGGAGGCCAAGGTTGCTCAGAGCTGGCTCTGAGAAAAAAATATGGTACTGAGGAGGCTGGTACAGGATCCAAACATCAAAATTTGGCAGGAGGAATGCTCTGGGGGTTCTACTTCACACTTTCTCCCAACTACCAGGACATACCTTCCCCACTGGGCTGGGTGACTCTGTCCAAGCCTCGAGACTGATAGAATTCCCGAATCCGTTTTTCTTCACCTAGAAGGGGTGAAATATGGGAATATTAACCCTGTCTTTGTTCCTTTTGCTGTTGAGTTCTTTATCTAGATAATTCCTACCAAAACCTTTGTCAATTCAAGCTGCCATCCAGCATTAGAGTCAAGAAGTCCCACAAAGCCAAGTTGGTGACTCACTGTCTTGCAAGCCAGGTACTAGCTTATACACTATGTCCTGCATGACCCGGTCCAGTTTGAGGTTGAGCAGCGGCTGTGTCTCATGGATCTTGATGTTGCACATGGGGCAGTACTTACTTGTCTGCAGGTACTTCACAATACAACTCTTGCAGACTGCAAAGGAGAAGAGCAGGCTCTTAGGCCCATTCATGGGATGAGTGGGCAGACAGCACAGAGGTTAGCAGACAGCTTGGTGAGGACTTGGGTTTAGAACTCACAGGTATGAAGACACTCTGTGATAGTGGTGGCATCCACGAAGTAGCCAGCACACAGGCAGCAAACGATGTGTTCATTCAGGTCTTTGATCTTCACACGGACCTCCTCCTGCAGACATACGTTCTGTCACCAATCCCCCATGTTTTAGGCCCACCCCACCCCTGCACTTCCCAGCTTGGGATTAGTTCCTTTCATTGGACGCCATCGTCCAGTCCTGCACCCCACCTTCCAGTCCTGCACCCCGCCTGGTCCGAGGGACTGAAGTCCTGGGAACTGGCACTCCCCCTCCGCCCAGCAGAGGGCTCCGCACACAGCGGGGCCTCCCTTCACACGGATTCGCCTGACCCTCCTTTCCCAAGGGAGACTAGACTACGTCGGAAACACAATGCGCAGGCGTTCTAGTGCAGATTTTGGCAGCCCAACAGCAATCGCGCATGCGTACCGCGCACCTTGTCTCTGCGCAGGCGCATTGGGCACTCGGCCAGCCACAGCCCGTCCTCTAGCCCGCCCCAGTTCGCGCAGCTAGCGGACCCCAGCAGTATTCCCGCCGCCCCTGCACCTCGTTCCGTAGCGGGTCCATTTTGTACACTGACTGGAGCTGGTTCCGAAGCCTCATCGCGATCGCAATCTGGCCCCCCTGAGGAGACGCCATCTTAAAGGCTGATCCCGGCCTGCCACTTCCGGTGCCGCCTGCGGAGGCGGAACTTGTCTCCTAGCAACGGAGGGCCTAGGTCCCTTATGATTGGTTTGTTCTTAGTCTGGCCACGCCCACAACCCCTCTGTCCCGGTGAGCTCACCTGAGCCGGTTGGCCCCTCCTTCCCCTCCCCCTCCCCAGTGGTTTTTAGGGAGTGGGTAGGGGGCGCGGGATTGTCCCGCGCGCTCTCTGTGGCGTCCTCCGACGGTCCATTCCCGACCTTGGGACTAACTTTTGGGTCCTGCAAAACACTGCGCCCTCGGACCCCCGAGGCCGGCGATTGCCGCCAGCTTCTGCTCCCGAGCGTTGGTGTCCGGGGATGAGACCCCCTCCGCGATCTTCCCTTGCTGTGCGGACCCGCTGGCCTGGGGCGTCCGCGCTGCGGACCTGTGTGGGGTGGCTGGCCTTGTCCCCGCTTCTCCACAGGAGTTTTCCCGGCTTCGTAGAGTCTCAGGGTGCTGGGGGCCAGGCGAGGAGGGAAAGACCCTCCCCCCAGGACTTCGTGATCTTACTCCCCACTCTCTCCCGACTGCCAGGGTTGGCGGGGGGTAAGGCCCTGATTAATGATGGTGATTTAATCATCGGCGCCTGCGGAGGCCTGGGACGGACTAATGCGGAGCAGATGCCAAAGGAGGAGGGGAGGACGAACCGCTAGGACACTGCGGCTCTCACACACAGGCTGCTGTGCCTGCAGTAGCATAGGCCCAGACCGCACTGGGAGAGAGTACGCAGGGGTCCCCGGGGCTTGTACACTGCCATCCCTGGTTCCTTACAGTGAAATTCAAGAAGAATAAATTTACTATGAAGTATTAACACCAAGTACAATTGGAGATTCGAGTCGAAGGGGAGATAACGGTGGAGACCTTGAAAGGCTTTCTTGAGAAACTGGAACTTGGTGGGCATGATTGAGACTCGGATGATGGTCTATAAGTGTGGAAATAGAAAAGAGAGGCAGTGTGGAAGAGAACCACGGGAGGGAGGGAGGGAGAGAAGGAGGAAGGAAGGAAGGGAGGAAGGAGAGTCAGGTGTGGGTTGAGAATGGTAAAAGTGGGGGCTAGGGGTTGGAGTCTAGGGTGAGGGCAGTAGGGAACTTGTAGAAAGGTGTGTGTGTGTGTGTTACCCATGAGTGTAACAAAATGTCATTTTCAGAATGCAATGCATAAGCAGCAAGAAATTATTAGTGACTTATTAATCAACTAATTATAGCCATAGTTTAACCCTGGGCCAAACCACCACACCATCATGTCTTCACTGAGTCCTTTACTTCTATTTACTTCTATTGTTTTATGTGTATCTGCATGTGTATGTATGTGCACCTGACTGCAGGTGCCTTGGGAAGCCAGAGGCATTGGCTCCCCTGGAGCTGCAGTTGCAGGGTCCTCTAGCAAGAGCAGTTAAGTACTTAATTTAGCTGCTGAGCCATCATCTCTCCAGACCCATTGTAGGTCTTCTTGACTGCTTTCCTTGTGATCACCTTTGTCCCTCTTATGAACTTAGTCTGTTGTCTCCACAACAGCGCAGAATGATTGTGATCATCAACCATAAACCAGAAATGACACAAGGAAAGTTTTTTATTTCTTTGATGGTGGTGATAATTTAATGGGTATATACATATGTACACTTAGCAAGGTGTACACTTCAGATACAGCTTACTTAATTATATGTCAAAAAATATCATACCTCAAAAAATAGAGGCAGCTGAGTGTGGTGGTGCCTTTAATCCCTGGACTCAGGAAGCAGAGGCAGGTGGAGCTCTGAGTTCAAGGCCAGTGTGATCTACATAGTGTGTTCCAAGCCAGCCAGGTCTACATAGTAAGACTCTGTCTCAAATAGATAGATAGATGATTGATAGATAGATAGATAGATAGATGATAGATAAATGGCACAGACCTGTAATTCCAGCACTTGGAAGGTAGAGGCAGGGAGATCCAGGAGTTAAGATCATCCTCAGCTACATATTGAGTTTGAGGCCAGTCTGGCTTCATGAGACTCACTCTCAAAAAAATATAATAGAACTGAAAAATCAGATTATTTCCTTTTTCTACTTTAAGATATATTGTTGCTGTTGTTGTTTTTAGACAGGATCACCTTGTAGCCTCAGCTGGCCTAGACTATGTAGACCAGGTTGGCCTGGCTCTCACAGAGATCCACCTGCCTCTGCTTCCCCAGTGCTGGGATTAAAGGTGTGAGCCACCCCACCACACCAGGTTTATTTAAAATATTTTAATAGGAGCTGGGCATGGTGGCACACACCTTTAATCCCAGCACTGGGGAAGCAGAGGCAAGCTGATTGCTGTGAGTTCAAGGCCAGCCTGGTCTACATAGCTCTAGGCCAGTTGAGGTTACAGGGAAACCCTGTCTCAAAAAGATTATATATATTATATACATATATATTTTTTAAATAGAGATGACTGGCCTTGTAGCTCAGTAGTAGAGTGCTTGCTACAGGCCCTGAGTTGATTCCCAGCACCACAAAACACACAAGCAAAAAAATACTTTGTTAGCTTCCTTTTTCAGTCAGAATAAAAGCCAAAGGCCTTTCATGGTCTCTGCAGCCACAATGGACTCTCACTGATCCAGACACACTATGACAGGCTCCTGCTATGACACACTGGCTATTCATGTTTTACCCTCTCTCTTGCAGGTCTTCTCTCCCAATAACAATCTATTCATCTTCCCTTTTTACTTCCTTGCTTTATTTTTCTTCTTAGCATGATTTTTTTTTTTTTTTTTTTTTTTTTTTTTTTTTTTTTTTGGCAGTCTTATTTAGTCCTAGCTGGCCTCTAAGTAGTACCCGAGGATGCCCTTGATTCTGATCTTGCTTTCTCCTCCCAAATGCCTGAAAAGCACAGTGAGACACTCTTAAAATAAACTGGAATATAATCAAAATATATTTTATGGGGCTGGAGAGATGGGCTGCTCTTGCAGAGGCCCCAGATTCAATTCAATTCCTAGCACCCACATGGTAGCTACCAATCATCTGTAACTCCAATTTATAATTCCAGCACTCAGGAGGCAGAGGCAGGTAGATATCTATGAGTTCGAGGCCAGCCTGGTTTACATAGTGAGTTCAGTTTAGCCAGGACTACATAGTGAGCCCCTGCATCAATAAATAAAGGCATAGGTCTGTAATTCCAGTACTTGGGAGGCAGAGGCAGGAAGATCCAGGAGTTCAAGATCATCGTCAAGTGCATATTGAGTTGGAGACCACCCTAGACTACATGAGGTGCAGTCTCTAAAAACCAATAAAAATCAGATTATGTCTTTAAAAAATTATATATATTATATATCTATAGCTGAGCGTGGTGGCTCACGCCTTTAAACCCAGCACTTGGGAGGCAGAGGCAAGCTGATGTCTGTGAGTTCAAGGCCAGCCTGATATACATAATGAGTTCCAGGTCAGCTGGGGCTACAGGGAGACCCTGTCTCAAAACAAATTTTATATACATATATATATATTTGAGACAGGGTCTCCCTGTGGCCCTAGCTAGCCTAGAACTCTATGCAACTTTAAGGAATTATTAACATGGGAGTTGGAGAGATGACTCAGTAGTTAAGAGCACTGGCTATTCTTGCAGTGGACATGGGTTCTGTTCCCAGAACCCACATAGTAGCTAACACTCATCTATAACTCCAGTTTCAGTAATCTGATTCCCTTTTCTGGCTTCCCTGGGTATTTCTTGCACATGGTGTACTTGCATACATGCAAGCAAAACACTCGAGCACTGAAAAATCAAAAAAAAATTTTAATTAAAAAATTATTAACATAGCCTGGCATGGCACCTTCCTTTAATCCCAGCTCTTGGGAGGCAGAGGCAGGAAGATGTCTGTGAGTTCAAGGACAGCCTGGTCTACATAGTGAATTCCAGGCCAGTTAGGGTTACATAGTGAGACCGTCTTTAAAAAACATATTCGGCTGGGCGTGGTGGCACACGCCTTTAATCCCAGCACTCAGGAGGCAGAGGCAGGCAGATCTCTGTGAGTTCAAGGCCAGCCTGGTCTACATAGTGAGTTCCAGGCCAGCTGGGGCTACAGGGAGACCCCCCAAAAAATAAAAAAACATTTTCAATGTGTGTACTTGTACATATGCACATGGATGTACATACATATGTGTGCTCAAGGGTGGAGGCCAGAGGCCAACCTTGAGTCAACCCTGAGAGATTTCTTGATGATAAAGCTAAACTGACCAGCAAGCACTATGATCCTTTTTATCTCCATCTCCCCAAAGCTACCACTGAACCCAGCTTTTCATGTGGGTACCAGGGATTTAAGACAGGGTCTCATGCTCACAGAGCAAGCACTCTACTGACCAATCTCTCTCTCTCTCAAGCCCCTCTTTTTTTGTGTATGAACTTTTCTTATATTTTTATTAATTCTTTGAAAATGTCATTCAATGTATTAAAAAAATTTTTTTTTTGTCTTTTTGACACAGGATCTCCCTGTAGCCCCAGATGGCCTGGAACTCACTTTGTAGACCAGGCTGGCCTCAAACTCACAGAGATCCACCTGCCTTTGCCTCTGGAGGGCTGGGATTAAAGGCATGTACCACCACACCCGGCTTCAATTTTATTTTTATGTGTATGTGTATGAGTGTTTTGCCTAGATGTATATTAAGTGTACCACATGCATACAATGTCCACAGAGGCCAGAAGAGGGTGTTGGAGCTCCTGGAACTGGAGTTACAGATGGTTGTTAGCTGCCATGTGGGTGCTGGGAGTCAACCCAAGTCCTCTGTAAGATTAAACAGTGCTCTTAACTGCTGAGCCAATTCTCCAGTACCATATATTTTGATAATATTCCAGCTCTTTTTTTTTAAACAGTCTGGTCATGTTCTTCTGGTTGTTTTGAACTTGTGATCCTTCTGCCTCAGCTTCCTAAATACCTAAGATGATTACAGGCATGTACCACCATGTCTAGATTAATTATTTTATTAAGACAGGATTTACTATACTATGTAGCCTTGGCTGACCTGGAATTCTTCATGTAGACCAGGCTGGCCTTGAATGCATAGAGCTTTGTCTGCCTCTGCCTTCCAGGTGCTGGGATTAAAAGTGTGTGCCTAATATTTTTCTAGTTTTTTTTTTATCTGCCTTTCCTACTAGAATTAAGTTGTCCCCCCCCCCCGTCCGAGACAGATACCTTCCTTCCCCCTCAATTCACAGCTCTATCTCCAGATCTCTAGTGCCAGGTACATGGTGGGTGTTAAAATATGCTGGATGAACAGATGAATGAATGCAGGTGGCAGTGATGACCTCTTAGATTAGGGAGGTAGTAATGGAAATGAAGGGCTGTATCTGGGTTTGGTGTCACAGACTTGTCATCCTAGTATTTAGGAGGTAGAGGCAGGAGGCTCAGAGTTCAAAGCCAGCTTTGGCTACACAATGAATTCAAGGCCTGAGTTACAGAGGACCCTGTTCCACAAAAACAAAAGGAAGGAAGGCTGCATCTGAAACTTCAAAGGAAAGCATATAAAAGGAAGTAGCCGGGAACCTGGCTGAGAAGGCCTGGGTAAGAGGATGAATTAGGATCTTGAGAAATGAATGGAGCCTCCAGTTGTTGGAATTAAGGCAGCTGCAAGAGAAATAGGTAGAAGTAGCCAGAAGGCTAGAACAGTGCTGAGACTGGAGGGATGGGGCTGAAGTGTGAAGTGTCAGCATTGTCTGGTAGAGGTGAGAATTGGGACAATTGGAATGGATGGAGCTTGGACAGATGTAGAAATAAAGCTCAAGTCAGTGCCCTGAAGAATGCTCACCCTCTTAAGTAGAAGGAAAAGGCAGTGGAGAAAAGATAGAAGCAGAGACAAGGTAAGTCCAAGAAGTTAGAGAATTCAAAAGAAATAGCACAGAAGAGGGCTGGGGATGTAGCTCAGTGATAGAGCACTTGCCTAGCATGCATGAGGCCCTAAGTTCATTCCCTAGAGTCCCAAACAAAACAATACAAAAAATAAAAAGCAAACCCAACAAAAACAGAAGGCTAAAGAAAGGACAGTTTGGGGCTGGAGAGAGAGCTCAGCAGGTAAAGGCAATTGTGGGTAAGTCTGATGACCTGAGTTCAATCCCCAGGACCCACATGGTGAAAAGAGAAGTGACTGAGAAAAGATGTCCTCTGTTCTTGTATTGAGGCACTAGAATTCCCCCCCCCCAATAACTCCCAGATTTGTATGTACAACTGCTTGTGGTCATTTTCCAAAGGTCATCCATGGGTGAGAGTGCCACCTATGCTGACTGCAAAGGGCAGGCACACAGTCAGGCCTCTGCCAGGTTTTCCTTTTTCTCGTTCACTGATTAATTCAAAACAATTCTGTTTAGTTGAAGACTAGTGCTTGACTGACAGAGGCTTTGGAGTTCTGGTAGCCTCCCTCTGCTGCTCAGAACCTGGAGGGAGGGTGAAGGGGTAAAAGAGGTGATAAAAGCACAGCTGCCAAATTGGCAGGGGGCCCCCATGATGCTTCAGAAGGGGCTGTGGCCAAGTAGGCAGACAGAAGAAACGAAAGAGGTGGGCAAGGCTGGAAAGGTTGTCACTTACTATTAATGTCTACTTGGGCCTCTAACCATTACTCACCCCCCTCCAGACCCAGGCTTTTGAGAACCCTCGGGGGCTGGTGGCTTTGGGTGATGAGGGCCCACTCTTCTTTTATCTTCCTGCCCAGATGCCCAAGTAGCTTTCCTGGCTCCCAGGAGAGAAAAGACCCCTTCACCCTGCCCCAGGCGCCAGGCTGCCAGCCCATCTGCTGGGAGAAAGGAGGGGCACCTTTCCCAGGGGACTGTGGAGAAGCTACTGGAAGATCACTAGTACTAGTACTAGTAGTATTACTTCTAATACTATACTTAGAAGACACTTGGCTTCACACCGGGAAACCGAAGGGTGGACCTGAGCTCTGAGGTGGGCCGGGGTGAGGGTCCAGGGTTGGCGCAGTGGGGCGGGGTCTTTAGGTCACCACGTGTCCAAGGCAGGCTGAACAGCTCCTCGGTGCCTACCCGCTCTCCCCCTCCCCGGGCCCAGTCTCACCGGCTCGGAGGCGCCAGGGCCCCCCCAGGGCCGGGGCGGGCTGGGGAAGGTAATGTAATTCTGACCCAGCTAACCCGATTATGGCGGCCTGCACCGGGCAGGGTGGCGGCGGGGGCGGGTCTACAGCTTAGGGGCCCGCCCGGCTGGGGTCCCATCCCGGGGAAGGACGCTGGGTTCACACACTCGCAGCTCCTGGGTCCGCAGAGGTCACAAGGTCACCGAGCGGCTTCAGCCTTTCCCCACCTCCCTCCGGTGGCACCCTCCGGGAGTGTTTTCTGGGGCTTGGGTGGGGTGGTGTCTGTAGAAAACGGAGCCGGATCCTTCCAAGGCCTCAGCGAGTCCCAAGGGTCGCCCTTTTGCCTTGGAGAGGGGAGGAGAGTGTGTGAGGATAGCTTTCCGCGATGCACTGTAAAAGGTAGAATCCCGGGTTGGGGGCCCGAGTTGGCTCCCTTGAGACACTAGTCCCATTTACAGCGATCTCGGGAAATCGAATTCCTAAGAAACAGGGAATTCCTGGCCAGTCCTGACAGGGGTGGGGAGCTCTACAGGAGAAGCCAGAAGGTGCACCAAGACCCCAATCGAGATATATGCCCCCTGCCCAAGCACCCCCCCACCCAAACGCGCCCTGCCATCCCCTGCCCACACCTGTCCTCTTCCTGGACTCCAGGTCGCGATCGCCGTTCCCTAGCCGCTTCTCATGCAGCCAGGAAGCCACAACGAGATTTGGTCTTAGAGGGCACTTGGGTAGGGACCACAACGAATCCAGGGGTTGGCCAGCAGGACCCATCGGGAGGCGAAGAGTGGGGACTGGGGAAGAGGCACCTGCTGAGCAGGCCGTCCGGTCGAGGCAGCGGAGAGGCAGAGGCCCGCAAGGATGCCGGCGCCGCAAGCTAGCATCTCCTGACTCAGCGGCCCACATTCCCGCCCCTGCGGCGCAATGCCAGTTCCTAACACTCTCTCCTTCTTCTGCCTAAGCCTGGCACATCCCGCCCAGTGCTTGGTGCAAACAGGCGTCCCTTCCCCTTTAACAGCTGGGCCACGCCCCTGCCCTACCCTCAGCCCCTTCTACCCACCAGGGCCGATCTGTCAGTCACTACCCCAGTCCGAGCTGCCCAACCCTCTCCACACCCGACTGGGCAGCGGCCTGGGCTGCCTAACGTGCATCCGAGCCTCAGAGCTTGCAAGGGAGCTCTCCCACCCCGCCGGCCACGTTCCTCCGGGATGCGAGTCCCTGAGCCGACGCCCGGGAGGGGCGGGCACCCGTGCGGCTGCGCCCGGTGCACAGGGATGCTACTGATCCCGGGGCCCGGGCGCCCGGCCCTGGCCAGTCCCGCGGGCCCCTAAAGCCGCCGCGTGAATCGCAGCACCACCGGGCTCCCATAGCTGTCCCTGATACCCCTCCCCACCACCGAACCTCTCGCTGTCCTCTCTGGCTGGGACCCATGGAGCCGGCGGTGCTGTCTCCGCACAACCTTCCGCAACACGAGCCAATCAGCTTCGGCATCGATCAGATCCTGAGTGGTCCCGAACCCCCGGGGGGCGGCCTAGGCCCGGGCCGAGTGGGCCAGAGCCACGGAGAGAGTGCAGCGTTCTCCGGGGGATTCCACGGTGCCTCGGGCTACAGTGCTGCAGGCTCGCTGGCCTCGCTGCCCAGCGGCTCCGGAGTGGGCCCGGGTGGCGTGATCCGCGTCCCAGCACACCGCCCGCTGCCGGTGCCGCCGCCCTCGGGTGCGGCCCCAGCGGTGCCGGGGCCCTCGGGTTTGGGCGGCGCCGGGGGCCTAGCCGGACTCACCTTCCCCTGGATGGACGGCGGCCGCCGCTTTGCCAAGGACAGGCTCACGGGTGAGGTTGCCTAACCCCTTCAGCGTCCTGTCCTCTCTGACCCGGTTTCCTCACGTCTCGCCTTTCTGTTCCAACTCGGCGACACGTTTTATACCTCCTCACACATCATTCCGGGGGGCAGGGGTGGGCCCTAGACCCCAGCATGTCCCTCCGCAGAGAAGAGATAGTGGGGAGCGAGCTGCCGTCGGGCCTGCACCCTCCTCTGCTATCCCACTGTCCCGGCCGCAGGGTTGACCGGGTGAGATTAAGGGCACATCTTTCTTTGTCGGATTTTACTAAGGCCCCTTTCTTGAATGGAAGCCTCTGCGGGTGCAGGGTCAAGCTTGGGGCCAGGGTAAGGACTAGGGGCTCCAGAGATCCCCGGATCTCTCCCGAACTTTGCCCTGCTCTTCCGCCCCGGTAGCCGCGCTCTCACCCTTCTCCGGGACGCGCCGCATAGGCCACCCCTACCAAAACCGGACGCCCCCGAAGCGGAAGAAGCCGCGCACCTCCTTTTCCCGCTCGCAGGTGCTGGAGCTGGAGCGGCGCTTCCTGAGGCAGAAGTACCTGGCCTCCGCGGAGAGGGCGGCGCTGGCCAAAGCCTTGCGCATGACCGACGCGCAGGTCAAGACTTGGTTCCAGAATCGACGCACTAAGTGGCGGTGAGGCTAGGCTCGGGCAAGGGCTGGCCAGGACCCACAGGGAGGACCCGGGCATCCGGCTCACCCCGCTGACATCCCACTCACCCCGCCGGCATCCCGCTCACCCCGCCCGAATCCCGCTCAGCCGGCGGGCATCCCGCCCACCCCGTCGGCATCCCACCCACCTCGCCCTCATCCTGCTCACCCGGGCGGCATCCCGCTCATCGCACATCTCCGCCCGCCCAGGCGCCAGACTGCGGAGGAGCGCGAGGCAGAGCGGCACCGTGCCGGACGGTTGCTGCTGCACCTGCAGCAGGACGCTCTGCCTCGGCCGCTGCGGCCGCCGCTGCCCCCAGACCCGCTCTGCCTGCACAACTCGTCGCTTTTCGCGCTGCAGAACCTGCAGCCCTGGGCAGAGGACAACAAAGTGGCTTCCGTGTCCGGACTCGCCTCAGTGGTGTGAGCGGCCCGTGCCCCGTCCGCTGAGCGTCTTTTCCCCGATGGAGAGAGGCACCGGATGGAGCACCATCCAGGCCGGGTGTGGTGTAGAAGCTGCTACAGGCTCGCTCTCCTGGCGGCGGCCGAGTGTAAGAAGAGCAGAAGCCTCCCGACTAGCTGGGAGCTCCTTGGCCACCGGTGGGCTCCGAATCGTGCCGGATGATGCCGAGCGCATAGACGCTGCCTTTCTCGCCGCTTTTCACAGACTGGGTGTTAAGCATCGGGGAACCTGGGACTCACTCGAGAGCGAGACCTGCAGGACAGTAGTCAATGAGGCTCAGGGACCCTGGATTGTGTGGTGAGGACGCGCAGCCCTGGGGTCCTGGGAGCGCCCGGCAGCTTGGTACAGTTCGGGGAAGCAGCCACTGTGCTGGTGTGAAGAAAGACAAGAACAGCAGGGTAATGCCGTGACAGGGGAATGTGGCTGACTGAGACAGGGACCGGGTTGTCCTCGCTGGGCACCTCATCCCACAAATGTAAAACAATCTCTAAGAATGCCTTCTTGATTCAGTCTCGTGTTGTCATGCGTACAGCCTGCGGGCCACATACTCCCTTTTGGCAGTCACAATACACCGTGCTGTGGGTAAGATAGATAACTGTATATACCCGAAAAAAGATAAAATCTAGGAAGAAAATCTGGCTCTGGTGTTCTGCAGGGACAGAGAAGAGTGGAAGAAGGAGTGGATAAAGCTATTAGGTCCAATGGAGTTAGGGTGAGCAGAACAGATGCTCCGGAATCGGCAAGACTTAGAAGAATCAACGATAATTTCAAGACTGCAAACACTGAGGGACAGGAAATCAGTGATGGAATCGGAAAGGAAAATTGGAAAGATTATGGCAAGATTAACCGCAGGCAAAAAACCTTAGCTATGGAGAGAATAAATTCTGGAAAAGAGCATCTGAGGGAGATGAACAGATATCACACACAGGTGGAGACAGATGGAATGATAAGACCAGAAGGGAGCTCTGAGGAGTTCTAAGGATTAAGAATTTCTTTCCATCATCTACTAAAATACATTTACAACGTGCAAGATGATGGAGGATACCAAAATTAATAATCTAAAGCCAGAAACTACAACAAAAAGAATGACACCCTTAGTTAGACTTCAGGGGCTGGTAAAATGGTTCAGCAGATTAAGGTACTCCCTGCCAAACCCCACAATCTGAGTTCCATTCACAGGAATCAAATGCTAAGGCACACAAATTTGAGTTCTCAAACACACACACACACGCACACACACACCATAAATAAATAAATAAATGTAATTAAAAAATTAGGAAGACTTCAAACTGTGAGTGGGCTAGAGGCTACGGAGAACTTATTGATGATGAGTTAGAGGATGGTTGCAGTAGCTCTCTGGTTTAAGGGAAAGACTTTGCCTCATTCTTTTGCACTCCCATCCTTCTTCTAGCAAAGGCTGGAACACTGTGATAGGGAAGAGAGGCAGTGCCAGACACCAATGGTAGCCAGACCACTCATGTTCTGTGCTAGTGACAGCTATGCTGGTGAACACAAAGTGTTGATTGCAGATGGGAGCCAGGCAAGAGCCTGTACCTGTAGGCACTGGTTACAGGTCTTTGCCAAAGTGTCATCTCTGTCTCATGAATGCTGTATATGGCGCTGCAGAACCACAATCAAACTTACCATAATAGAGAAATCTTTTATAGCCCAAAGGAGAGAAAGTTGAACCAGGTATAAGTTGGTGGCATGAGGAGCATTTTATTCCCTTGCCCACAGAGGGAAAGGTCTGCTCCACCTGGACCATGGTTTACCCTGTTTCCTGCCCCCTTCCCCCCCACAGCCCACTGTTTCTTGGCTCATGGGTTCCAAGATGTAAATCTGACTCTACACTTTGGATTTCTAAGTCCGGCTGACCATCTTGGCACTGGTCTGAGGGAAGACCCAATGCCTAATGGTGAACTCAGCCCTCCTCCCTAGGCAGCTCACTGCAGAACACAGGCTTCTCTGTACTCCTGGAGAAAGGAAGGCTCCGTCTTTGCTGATGGCTCTGCTGTTGCTTCTCTTAACTCGTTCAGGAGGTCTCTGCTCTCACCAGGAGGCAAGTTACTCAGGAAGTATGGAGGGGCCAACTCCACCAGCCTGTCAGGGAAAGCCATAATTAGATGATCTCTGTCTTCCCCTATAATTAGACTCCATCACCCCTTCCACACACCTTCTCTTTTCAGATCATGTTACTACAAACCCTCTTCTTAAATTGAACTCCCCAGTTGTAGTTTTGGCCCTTTGTGCAGAGTAGGAGTCAGGGGAGAGGGTGTCTGGAAACTCACATCTGAGGTTGAATCTCAGAAACAATGGAAAGGCAGTTGTCTTTGGATATGGAGAAACTGTGGTACAGCACCCATGGTGGTGGTCTGGCTGGAGCCCTCCGGTTTCGGTAGCAGCAGTATGAAGAGAGCTGGGCCACATGCTTGTTGGTAAGAAGCAGGTAATTTCCAGTCCCATCTGTGTCTCGCGCCACCTCATTGAAAGACAAATACATTGATTGAATAACTAAAAGGGACAAGACAGAGAGTAGAAAAAAAGAAAAAGGGGAATGGTACATGCCTGTACTCCCGGCATGAGGGAGGTAGAGGCAAGCTGATCAGGAAGAACAGCCTGGAAAACATGAGACCCTCTCTCACCTCTCCCTTCAAAAAAAAAAAAAAGGCTGGGAGAGTGAAAAAAATTAGTGAGGGTTGTAAGAGACCTAAGTAAAGCATTACTCTCAGCTGTGGTCTGGTCCCTACTTGACTATTTTTCATAGTCCCTCATCCCCCAAACACTTAGAAGTGAGTGTTGAAAAGTCACTCCTGGTTCTAAGAAAACCATGTGTGTGTGTGTGTGTGTGTGTGTGTGTGTGTATTCATGTATTTATGGGTGTATGTGTGTAATATATCCCCCCCTTGGGATGGTCATGACCTAATTAACCTAATCATCCCCCGCTAGATCCCTTTTTTTTTTTTTTTTTTTTTTTGCGACAGGGTCTTCCACTGCCTGGGAACTTTCCAAGTAGGCTACTTTGGGCTGGCTTTGGACAGGGATCCATCTATCTCTGCTTCTTCAGGGCTGGGATTATGAGGGCATACCACCACTCCTGTCTTTTTTACATGGGTTCTGGGGCTCAAACTCACATCTACTTGAAGGAAAAGTGCTTTACCTACCTACTGGGCCATCCCCCCAACCCTCCTTCCTCTTCTCTGCCTTTTAATTTTTTTTTATTAAGATAAGGTCTTACCATATAGCCCTGGATGTCATAGAACTTGCTACGAAGACCAGGCTGGCCTCAAATTCATAGAGATCTGCCTGCCTCTGACTCCCAAGTGCTGGGATTAAAGGTGAGGAACATCATGCCCCACAACATGCCTTTTGATTTTTTAAATTTTTATTATTTTTAATTATGTATATGTGTGTCTTTGCCTATAGGTGTGTGCATGTGAGTGCAGGTACCAGCAAAGGCCAGATGTGTTGGCTCTCCCTGGAGCTGGAGTTACAGGCAGTTGTGAGCTGTGTGATGTGGGTGTTAGAAATTGAACTTGGGTCCTCTGTAAGAGCAGTGCTTGCCCCAGTTGCTGGCTATCTCTCCAGCCTCGCCTTTCAATTGTTTTACTACTCCCACCCCAGCCCTCTTCTCTAACCTTGAGGAAGTATCCTGATACCAGTGCTTTCTGAAGGTTTCTGCGATTCTGCTCAGAGCCAAAGGCTGGCTGGGACAAGGGAAGTTCAATTCCCTGCATTAGTTGGAGGAGCTCTCCTCGGAGTCTATGGGCTTGACACAATGCTTCCCAGTTTAGACCCCGAGCCTGGCACCAAGCCTCATTTGCTCCACCTAGGAGAGGAAAGGAACCAGCTATAACTAAAATCCTTTTAACCCCTGAAAGAATGACCCTTGGTCAAAGGTTTCCTCTTCCTGCATGCACACACAGGTCTGCCTGCTGACTGCATGATTTTCCTGGGAGTCTATGAGGGTCCAGAGTGGGCCACTTACTTTGAATAAAGGCTTCATAAACTTGGATCAGAGAGCTGTGGTCGCCATCCGCATGTTCCAAGGCACGGCGCAGGGTAGCTTCTTCTGCACACTGCGGAGGACGAGTAAACCCAGGGGCAGCTGGAGGCAAAAGACAAGAAGGGAGTTTGGGAGGAAAGGAAGGATCATAGCAGAGACGGAATACTGAAAAGTAGTGTTACTTTGGGAATTTTATTCAAAAGACAATAAATTCTAGGTGCTATGCACTTTATTAGACAAATGCAGCCAGCTCTCCTCATCATTGGGTTCTGCATCTGGACCCAACGCACTGTGGATTGAAAGTACTCAGGAAAAAAAATGCATCCGTAGCAAACTTATAGATTTTCCCTTTGCTGTTATTCCTTAATATAGGACCCTTCTATGTAGAGTTTACACATAGTATTGGGTAGTACAAATAATCTAGAGATTATGAAAAGTTAAAAATTAAAGAAGAATATGCATAGGTTACATATGAGTACTATACCCTTTATGCTAAGAGACCTAAACACTGGATTTTGGTATCCATAGAGATCCCTAGAAGCTATCTCCCATGGATACTGATAACTGCAGATGAAAGACAGTCTTTGCCCCCAAGGAGATTAGAGTGTGGTGGAGAGGGTGAGGAGATGGGGTGAGAGCACTCGCTGTGCAAGTGAGTTTGATTTCCCAGTACCCATGTAAAAACTGAGCATTGTTATACACGCCTGTAATCTCAGCACTGGGGACAGGGGAGGGGCAAAGACAGGTAGATCCTGGGAAATGGCCAGCTAGCTTAGCTGGAATAACAACTTCTGGTTCAGTGACAGACCCTGTCTCAAGGCAGTAAGGTGGAGAGCCATAGTGGAAGGTACTCCATGTCTTCCTCTGGCCTTTGCTTTGTTTTTTTTGGGGGGGGAGGGTTGAGTTGGGGTCTCCCTGTAGCCCCAGCTGGCCTAGAACTTGCTCTGTAGACCAGGCTGGTCTCAACTCACAGAGATCTGCCTGCCTCTGCCTCCCAAGTGCTGGGATTAAAGGTGTGCGCCACCACACCCAGATCCTCTGGGTTTTGTATGCAAGCAAGTGGAGGCATGCATCTGTACATTCAAGTTCATTCATCACACACACACACACACACACACACACACACACGAGAGAGAGAGAGAGAGAGAAAGAAAGAAAAAGAGAGAGAGATGAGAGAGCAATAGGAAAGTGGTAGACCATTAAGCAATACACAGGTGTGGGTTGGCACTCTGAAAGCAAAGAGGTAAGCTGATTCAGGCTTTGGTAATGGGTACAAGGGTGAAGTGAGAGAAGAGCAAAGGATCCTTGTGGCAATGAACTGTGAGTAGGAGTTGGCTCAGCAAAGGGACAGTGGGATCATTTGGGGCTGTGGGATGCACAGAAGTCAATGGCATGACTTATTTAGAGAACTATAGCCACCTGTTTGGGGTGAGGTGAACAGTGAGCAGAGTTGCAGGAGATAAGCAGAGAGGCAGGTATAGCCCAGGCTAGGAGGCAGGCTGTGCCAAGCAAAGGAATTTGCAGTTGTTTGGAAGGTGAGAACAGCTGCCTGAGGAAGAGATTTTAAGGGAGTCCATGTGTTTGGAAGCATTCACATACTGGTTAGGAGACATGGAAGGGAGCCAGATGAGCAGGGAGGAGACCTAACACTGGCACTGGCAGTGAGTATGCTGAAAGAGCAGACTACTCAAAGAAAAGATACTTCAGAGTTAAAAATGAAAAATCTAGGGGCTGGAATTAGAACAGGAGAGGTGATGGAATGATCTGGAGCAGAATTTAGAGGAGGGGAAGACTTTGTGGCAGTGTGGTAAGGGGGCAGGTCAAGATTATTTGAGTTCAGTTCTGAGCAGAGGCACTGTGGACTAGCCTGGTAGAAATATTCATCAGGAAATCCAGGCATGAAGGACTATGCCTATAATCCTACCGCATGGGAGTCTGAAGTAGGAGAATTGCTGCAAGTTTGAGACTAGTCTGAGATATATACTGGATTCCAGGCCAGACTGAGCTACTGAGTAAAACCCTGTCTTAAAACAAACAAAAGGGCTGGAGAGATGGTCCAGCAATTACGAGCAGTGGCTGTTCTTGAAGAGGATTTGAGTTTGATTCCCAGCATCCACATGGTAGCTAACAACCATTTGTAACTCCAATTCCATGGGATCTGCACTCTCCTGACCTCTGAGGGCATTGCACCACACGGGTGCACATTCACACATGCAGGCAATGCACTCATACACATAAAATGAAAATAAAAAAACCCCTGGGAGATGGCTTAGTGGCATGACTTCTGGAACCCATGTAGAAGTGGAAGGCCAGTTCCAGTTCCACAAACTTGTCCTTTGACCTCCACATGTGTGATGTGGCACACCTCCCTCCCCACATCACACATGCATATACCCAATAATAAAAAATTGTCAAGGGGCTGGAGAGATGGTTCAGTGGTGAAAAGCACTGACTACTCTTGCAGGACCCGGGTTCTGTTCCCAGCACCCACATGGCAGCTAACAATCATCAGTAACTCCAGGTCCAGCAAATCTGATACCCTCTTCTGCCCTCCAGGGGTATACTTTATATACATGCAGGTGAAACACTCACACATATTTAAAAAAAAAAAAAAGCCAGGTGTGGTGGCTCACACTTAATCCCAACACTCAGGAAGCAGAGGCACGTGAATCTCTTAAGTTTGAGGCCAACCTAGTCTAAATAGTGAGTTCCAGGCCAGCCACCAGGGCTACATAATGAAACCCTGTCTCAAACAAGCAAAGCAAAGCAAAACAAAAAAAGAAAGAACACAGGAGCTAAGGATTAGAACTCTGAGGAACAATTTTCAATGGAAAAGCATAGGAAAGGGAATGATGGTCGAGAATGATGGTCGAGGTGGGATAACACTACAAGGATGGTGGGTATGCTGGGGAGTGTGTACTTTTAGTCCCAGCATTCGGGAGGCAGAGGCAGGCAGATCTCTGTGAGTTTGAGGTTTACATAGCAAGTTCCAGAACAGCTGGGGCTACAGGGAGACCCTCTATCAAAAAAACAAAACAAAAACAAAAACAAAAAGGTGGGTATTGTGAACACCTATAATTCCAACATTTGGAAGGAGGGGGCACAAGGATCTCAAGTTCATGGCCAACTTGGGCTATACAGGAAGACCCTGTCTCAAAAGGAGGAGATTGGGGAATTGGCTCAGTGGATAAGAATGTTTGCTACATGGCCAGGCATGGTGGTGTACGTCTTTAATCCCAGCACTCGGGAGGCAGAGGCAGGCGGATCTCTGTGAGTTCAAGACCAGCCTGGTCTACATAGTGAGTTCCAGGACAGCTGGGGCTACAGGGAGACCCTCTCCCAAAAAGACCAAAAAAAAGTTCAAGGCCAGCCTGGTCCACATAGTGAGTTCCAGGACAGCTGGGGCTACAGGGAGACCTTGTCTCAAAAAGACCAAAAAAAGGGGCTGGAAAGATGGCTCAGTGGTTAAGAGCACTGACTGCTCTTGCAGAGGACCAGGGTTTGATTCCCAGCACCCACATGGTAGCTATGAACTGCCCTTAACTCCAGTTCCAGGGGAATCTGATGCCCTCTTCTGACCTCCACAGCATTGCATGACATGGGTACACTCACATACGTGCAGACAATACACTCATACACTTAACATAAAAATAATATTAAAAAAAAGACCAAAGAAAAAAAAATCTTTGCTACACAACATTCCAAATTCCAAGCACCCATCTTGGTGTGGCTTTGTATACCTGTAGTCCCAGTGCTGAGGGGAAGAGACAGGAAGTCTGTTTGGGTTTGCTGGCTGCCCCCATAGCTCCATGCTCAGTGAGAGACCGTGTCAAAAGGTCATGAATAAAGGCTCTAAAGTGTCTACTGGATTAGGTATCTGTAACCACACTGGTGAGATGATTCTTGTTTGGGGGGATGTGGACTTGAGGCTGGAATGTTGTGGGTGAATAATACACAAGATAGATAGGCATAGAGATGTTGTATAGTTGAGGTGGAGGGAGGAGGACAGAGAAGGAATAGGTGGGTGAGATTTATGCAAGCTGAGAGGCAAAAAGTAGAGAAAAAAGGCTGCGGAGAGAAGGGTGGTGCAGGCACCTGGTTCTCTCAGCACTGTCAGGGGCGGGGGTGGGGACTGTACCACCTCTGGAGGGAGCACGGCACACAAGGGGGCAGGGCTGAAGTGGCTGCAGGTAGCAGGGATTCAGGCCTCACCCCAGTGCTGAATTGAGCATCTGCCTAACAAGCAGGAGGCCCTGGGTAAGATCCCAGCACAGCAAAACCCCCAACTCTCAACTAACAAATGATGTATTTCCCAACCTTCCGTGGATTAAAACTGTAAATATACCAGTGAGCATGGCATCAAGGGTGAGCATTTCATCCACGCAGTCAAACTTGCATGAGGCCAGGAGGGCTTTGGCCAGCTCAGGGGGCAGGGGAAACTCTGATAGGATGATTCCCAAGTCTGACAGGTCCCCATCATCATTCAGGGCAGCCAGATAGTCTAAGTCTTCTAGGGCCTGCATCAGTGCTTCTGGCGCTGGTGAGAAACAGGGCTTAGAAGTCAGGAGGAATGAGCTTGTGGTCAAGGCCAGCACTTGGGCAGGGTGGGGGCTCACCAGGAGGGTCCAGGAAGTGGCACTCCCCTGGCTCTGCAATCTGTTTCCTCATTAGTAGTAACACCAGGGAGCTCAGATTCTCTTCACACACTCTGGAGCGAGGCAGTGGGGGAGCCTCTAGTTCTAGGGTGGACTTAGGATACAAGCAGAGGCAGGATCCTGAGGGGAGAAAGGCCTGGGAATGTCAATTTCTCAGGGCTTGTGTGAGATGACTTCTAACTTGATCCTAGGGCAAAGGTTCTTACCTGGTTGGAACCCTCTTGCCCGCAGCCGTCTTGCCTCTGCCTGACACTTGCTAATTGGCCTTAATACCTGGGATTCAGCCCGGATCCGAGGATTGTAAACCTGTCATCCAGACCCCACCAAAGGTCAAGATAGATCAGGGTGGTCCATTTCTCTGAGGTTCCACTCCCCCTTATCTCTCTCACTCACACTTCGAAGTTCCAGTCCTGAGTCAATGACATGTCGGATGGAAGGGAGGGAAAAGGAGAAGTCTGCCAGCCAATGGGTGACCACAATCTTCCGGGCACCCGAGTATGTGTCCTCATACACAGCCTGAATGGATTGACCGCAGCCTGGGTGAAGGGGCAGCACCTGTAGTGGAGGCCCTGGGACAGTCAATGTCCCCATCTCCCTGGACAAGGATTCACAGCACAGGGAAATTTCCTGAGGAGAGGGGTGGGGAATTAGGGCAGTCCTCACCTTTTTGAGAGGTCAGACTTTTTGACCAAGTAATGGTCAAAACACACATACTCGGAAAGTTGGGGCATGTTCTTTCAGTTCAGAGCCACAAAGCTCTGCTTCATAAGGAATCAAAAAAAGTGGGTGGCAGACATCTTTATTCTGAAATCGATTTTTCTCCCAGGACTCCCACAGAGAGTAAATTCAACTACTCCACTCTTCCTAATGTGCTACCCAATTCCTGGGCAGAAAGGTAGTACAGGCATTCCATTCTGTTATCTAGTTCTTTTTGTTTTTTTTTGAGACAGGGTCTCCCTGTAGCCCCAACTGTCCTGGAACTCACTATGTAGACCAGGCTGGCCTTGAACTCAGAGATCTGCCTGCCTCTGCCTCCCTGGGATTAAAGGTGTGCGCCACCACGCTTGGCTTGTTTTTGTTTTTTACCTCCTCACTGGGCAGGTATACTAGCACATCTCCTGGTGTCTCTTTCTGCTGACAGAACTCAAGCACAGCCTGGCAGGCAGCTTCCACCAAATGAGTAGGGACGGTATCCCTGTAGACAGGGGTGGGATCCCCACCAGGCTCTCTGGGTACATGCACAATGGGGGGGGTGCCCCAGAAGGCTTGGAGCTTAGGTTCAAGAGCTGGGTCAGTAACCACAACCACTCTGGTGTCCCCTGGAAGGTTTCCCAGTCTGGCATCTCGCAGCAGCCCCTGTAGTAAATCTGAGGCCACTGACCGCTCCTGAGCCTCATCCAGTACCAGCACACTCCAGGCTCCAGGGCCCCGGGTTGATGCCACTTCCTGAAGAAGCAGCCTGTCCCAGCAGAACCTGTTGACATCAGTAGCAGGCAGGGAAGTCAGTGTAGTCACTGACCAGGCTCTGCAAATCCAGGTACTTTCCCCTCAAGGCACTAAGACTGATATTGAAGGTCATCAGAAGATGCTCTGGTAAGCTTCCTAAACCTGTGGACCCCCAAACATGACCCCACGTCCCCACTGAGGACAGTTGGTTCACAAACTCTATTCTGCTGAAGTGGTTTTTGTGTTAAGGGTGAGGTCTGCCCTGTGCACAACTCAAAAGGTAGGCTTAGGTGCTAGACAACTGAGCTTGTTTCCACTAAGAAGGGGGAATGACTTGGATCAGGCCTGTAGATGGCCCACCTGAGCATGGTGCTGGGCCCAGTGCAGTCTTCCTGAGGGATGCTGTATCCAACCTCATGACCCAGGGTCAGGTCCATCTCATCGGCCACCCGTGAAGCAAGGCTCAGGGCTGCCAGAGGGTAGGGCTGAGTGACAGTAACCTGGCCTGTCTGGAATCCCCTGGCAAGCGCAAACTCTGCACACCATTGAGGAATCTGGGGTAGGGAGAGGGAAGGACCACCAGGTCAGGGAAGGATTTTGGCCAGAAGTGCTGCAGGAACTAGGGCTAGTTCAATCTGGTGAGTCCCTGGTTCTTTACCACTCCCTAGGTCAGCCTAACCCACCTCCCTCATATGCCCACCATTACCCAAGGAAAGGTAGTCAGCCCTGCCCTTTGTCCACTCCCAGAATCTCCCTCCACCTGGGTGCTCTTGCCAGAGCCAGGTTCCCCAGACACCAGCACCACTCCAGTTGGACTACTCTCCAAATGCTCCAAGAACAGGAAGCGAGCAGCCCAGATGGGCAAGGCTCGGCGCTGCTCAAGCAGCTCATAGTAGCGGGAAGAGAAGGGGAGCCCATCAAAGGGGTTCACAGCCAGTTCAGACTCCCCAGGACTTGGGTAAAACTCTTCTGCCAGCCCAGAGGCCATGGTAGCTGTCCACAGAACCTACAGAAAGCAGGGCAGCCAGTAAGACCTCAGATCTGGTGACCAACATCACCTTCCCAGCTCAGCTTGATCCCCAACCTCTAGGGGCCATTGAAAAGTGGACTTTTACCCTGCTTGTAATTGGGCAGCAGGGATTATGTGAGACGTAGTATTCTGCAGGAATGACTGAGGGGGGAAAGAGGAAGGAATGTAGGGAAGAGGTGGTAGGACAGTTGGACCATAAGGATCCTAGATTCAAACCTGTTAGCAGCTTGCAGACGGGTCAGGATGGCAGCCAGTTCTGGACACACCCAGCCAGGTAATACCAACCCTGACCAGCCTGGAGTACAAAGGTAAATTCTGGCTCCACCCTGAGGCTGGGCTCAAATTCCAATCCTGGAGCTTGCTTTTGGGGTAGGGCCATTTGCTCCACCTTAGTTAACATAGCTAAGAACCTATAGAGAACAGGTTCCTACTACTACACTGAGCATGTGTGAGTTTGATAGGCCTGTCTTATGAAAGGCATTCTGGGACTTGTAGTTTTGCAGTGACTGCTTCAAAAGACACCCAAGCTGGGATCCAGTCGATGCTTTCTTCAGTTTAGCATGAGACAATTTCAGACAGCTCCATTCTGCCCATCTTTATGACTCTACAATGAGACCCTTACCCATATTCTCTTCAACCAAGAAAAGGAACCTGCTCAAGGGGCTTTTGACACCCAGAGAGGCAACAGAAATCTTGAGTGAAAACCCTGAATTTAATGTGAGGTTGGGGGCACCACAACCCTCCCTTTTTACCACCCACTCATCCGGCCTTGTTGAGCTGGGTGAGGGCTGCCCCCAGTCTCCGTCCTGCAGCTCTGGGTACCATCTTGTTCCTTTGGGTTCAGTCAGTCACCTGGGCCTGTCTCTCTCTGAATCTCCTATGGGACACAGGGAGAGACATTGTGTAGGGTTTATCGTATTAGCTTCATCCAACTTGCCCCTTCCTACTCATTGTCCTCTAACAGCCTCACCTTCTCGCGTATTTATAAAGTGCCTGCTTGCGTTCTTGCAGGCTCTCCTGACGGGCCCAGGAAGACTTGGCAAATGTTGGGGCTGTGGGCTGAGGGGTCACCAGGCCAGAGCTGGGGAACTGAGGTGATCACAATGTCAGAGGGCTTGTGAAGTCATCATCATTAAACACGCATCAAATGCCTACTTTGCAAGAGAGGCATCGTGCTAGGGTCTTGACATCAAAAAGAGAAGTCAGGGAGAGAGAGCACGTAGACTGCCCCAACCTACCCTAAGTCTCAGGCTTGACTATTCCTGGGTCTCACCTTTGGGGCAAGGGCTGTGGACAGAGACTGTGTTCCCTCAGTGAGGTCTTCAGGCATGAAAGCCACAGCCCCCTCAAGCAGATTAGTGATGGTCAAGTCCACACAACCCGTTCTGGCTGGGAAGAGAGCAAAGTGTCCATTCTCCGTATACCTTCTTCCTCCACAACCCACTTTTCCTCTGTGTGAAGCCACCCTTTCTCATACCCAGGTCTCTTTGGATGACATTCAATGGCACATGGGGCAAAACCTCCTTGACTCGTTGAGCCAGAGTTGTGAGCTGCACATCAGAAGGGTTGGGAGAGGAAGGGAAGGAAGACTGGGCTATTAAAAAAAAAAAAAAGAAAAAAAAAGTAAAAGCATTAAGTGAGTGGAAAGCTAAGAAGAGGCTATCACAGGAATAAGGAAGTAAAACTACCCCTGAAACAAAAACCTGTGATAGAGATCACACACCTGACTGGGGGTGCAACCTGGGGTGTCTCTGTCGCTTCATGTGTTCTGCTTTGTCTGCAGGAGTAAGCCATGTCCCTGTCTGGCCCAATTCCTTGGCCACCAGCTAGGGAGAATTGGAAGGCTATAGTGTTACCTCCTCAAGCCTTCTTTCTTCCCTCCCTAAAAAGGAACTCCACATCCACCATGCCAGTGTACACTATCACCTGTTGTACACGGAGTGCAAACTCCTCATTCCCCTCTCCTAGCTGGCGATGAACAGGATGAAGCCACCTGCAAAAAACAAACCAGCGCCCTGTTAAAGCACCCAGAGCAAAGGCTGGCATCCCTTCCCACTTTTTGCTGGAACTTTGGTGAGAGTGGGTAGATGGTAAACAATATTGCTTCTCTGATGGAACCTTAACATTAACAAATCTACAAAGGGAAAGGACAGAGGTCCCTACTTTTTTGACCTGAGATAAGCCTCTTCCCAGCCATGAAAAAGTGAGGACAGTTAGTACCTTACTTGATACACCGTGAAAGGGACGAAAAGTGACCACAGCAGTTCTGAGACCCAGGAGGCATCTGACACCGTCTGAGGGGAGGGCACGAAGTGAGGCCTAAGTCAGGGCTGGGGTGGGAAACTTCCCCTCCAAATCCCAGAGATCCCCTGTCTAACACACACTCACCACAGAGACTAGGGGTCTCTGAACTTGCAGAGTAAGAGGTTGTACCACATCCTGGATAGAAAATGGCCATGAACTAGGAAAAAGAGAGTAGGATGGGCATCCAGCCTAACTCAGCAAGCAGCTCAGGCTTACTTAAACCAGGAAATTGTCAAAATACAGGGGAATTAAGTTTCAGGGAGAAAGGACAAAAAGTGGCCAGAAAGGAAATGAACTAGGGATGGAGTGGGGCAGGTTCACCCAGGAGCCCATAGCCCTGACAACCTAAGCAACTTGTGCCAGATACTTGTGCTTACCCACCTGAAGCGCAGGAGCCCCTCCCGGCCATTGGTGGCCTCTTCTTCAGGGAAGAGAAGCAAAGGTGTGGGGGGAAGTCTCGTGGAAGCACAGAATCTCTTCAGCGACTCCACCAACTCCACCCGCCTATCCATTTCCATGAAGCCCCGAGACCAACACACAAAGCTGGGGGGACTACTGAGTAGGGGCTGAGAGTAGGGAGGAGAGAAAGCAAGAAGAAAAGAACAGGGGAGAATATGAAAAAACAGTGACACGTGGGGTGGTGTAATGGGGTGGGGAGTAAGGCTTGGTATCCCCCTTGAGCAGGGGCCTAGGAAACCACCCGTGGCGCTCTCGCTCTCGGCCTCGTCCCCCACTCACGGTGTTACAGGTGGTGAGTAGGTTGACTATGTTGTGGTCAAAAGGTGTGACGTGGTTGGAAATGAGGACCCTGACGCGGTGATCCCGGAGTCCGGGGTCCTCCTGCCGGGCCACGAGCCCCAGCACCGCACACATGGTCCGTACCACGAACCTGGGGACACAGGCGGCGGTGACTGTGCGGTCTAGGGCCAGGCCCAGCACAGGCACTCTCCAAGCGAAGCAGTCGGCACCTGCGCAGGACGCTATCTGGCAGCGCACAGCTGACCAGGAAGACGTGGATCCCGAGGAAGAGGCGCAGGACTAGGAGGCAGAGGCCGATCGGCGCGTAGAGCAGCAGCGCCAGGAGCAGGAAGCCGTCACTCGGGAGCCTGGGACGAGAAGCGACGCGATCAGGCGCAGAGGCCAGGAGGACGCGGGCGTCGGCCTCTTACTTCCGGAGCTTACCGATGCGAGTCAAAGAGCCGCTCCGGCCCCGGAGCTGGGGGAGGTTCCATCGCTGCCGCCTCAGGTAAGCTGGACCGCCGCCGCCATCTTCGCAAGGCCGCGGAGGATCCTGGGAAGGCGGAGTCTTAGGGCATCCACCCGGGTGCCAGAACCCGAAGCCCGGAGGCGCCTGGGAAGGGCTGGCGCTCCCAGCATGCCCCGCGGCCCCGGTGTATATGGAAGTCTGAGAACGTGCATCCCACGGGGACTACAATCCCGGCATGCATCGGGCAGGGGGACGGAGTCGGCCTCCGGAAATCTGGGGTTCTGGCGTGGACTTTTGGAGGACTTCAGGTCCCGGCGTGCCTCGGGTCTCCCCGTCCGCGGGCTCGGCTCTCCGGCACCTCCTCAGAGCAGGGCAGGCGTGGGGAGAGAGCCTAGGCGGAGCTGGCAGCTGATGGCAGCGCTGAAGGCGGGGCGAGGTGCTGGCTGGAGCCTTCGCGGATGGCGGGCTTTGGGAGGGATCTTCTGGAGGAAAGGCCCCTTGTTAATCCCTGACCTCCGGGCTCTGCTGACGTCAGGGACTCCTGACCCCTGGGCCCAGGTGACTTATGGGACCCCCAGTCTCCGGGCCCGGGTGCCTGTGGGGGTCCCTGCATCTCGGGCATATCTGACGTCTGGGACTCCGGATCGCTGGGCACAACTGACTACCCCAGACCCCCGACCCCAAGAGGCCTGCGGGACTCCTGGAGCTCGTCCGCGCGTGTGGCTGGTGGTGGCTCTGGGCGCTGGGGGGGCAGTGCTGCTGCTGTGGTGGGGTGGGGGGCGGGGTCCTCCGGCTGTGCTGGCCGCTGTCCCGGCTCCGCCGCCCACCTCTCCCCGGAGCCAATACAACTTCATCGCGGACGTAGTGGAAAAGACAGCGCCTGCTGTGGTCTATATCGAGATCCTGGACCGGTAATGGAGTTGGCCGGGAGGTATTGTAACCATCTGGCAGAAGGCAAGTGAGCCCGGAGGGGTTGGGAGCTTCCTCTTATCGGTGATTTTCCCGCACCCCAGACACCCGTTCTCGGGCCGTGAAGTCCCTATCTCAAACGGCTCAGGATTTGTGGTGGCTGCCGACGGGCTTATTGTTACCAACGCCCACGTGGTGGCTGATCGCCGACGAGTCCGAGTGAGGCTGCCTAGCGGAGACTCGTACGAAGCCATGGTCACAGCTGTGGACCCCGTGGCAGACATTGCCACGCTGAGGATTCAGACCAAGGTGGGGTTGGAGTAGCCCAGATCTGGTGGCAACTGTTTGCCACTCCCTTCTTAAGATGACAGGTCTCTGATACTCATTTCCTCTTAGGAACCCCTCCCCACACTGCCCCTTGGTCGCTCAGCTGAAGTCCGGCAAGGGGAGTTTGTTGTTGCCATGGGAAGTCCCTTTGCACTGCAGAACACAATCACATCTGGCATTGTCAGCTCTGCTCAGCGTCCAGCCAGGGACCTGGGACTCACTCAGACCAATGTAGAATACATTCAGACCGATGCAGCTATTGATGTGCGTCCCGATAGAGTACAAGTTTGGGGTAGGGGAGAGTGACTATGTGGTGCCAGCACCAGCTGACTTGTATCAGAGGGCTGCAAAATGTGGTTACTCTAGTTCATGGGATGGGAAAGGAATTTGGCAAATGTACCTACATTCTGGTTATGCCCAGTCATAGAACTTCCAGATGTTTTCTTTGATTTTGCCCTGCAGTTTGGAAACTCTGGAGGTCCCCTGGTTAATCTGGTGAGTATGATGTCCTTTCTTCCAAGAATCCATATGCCAGGTCAGTGTGGGTTTTTCCCCGATTTAAGGATTTGTGGTCAAGTTTCTGCAGTCTTATCTCCTGGCATCCAACCAGAACCCCCTTCCCAAGTCCTTGCTACTTTTGTTCAGGTGCCCCCATTCTCTGCCATCTGTGTGGGCTAGGGGACAGGGGGCTGTGTCCCTGCAGGATGGGGAGGTGATTGGAGTGAACACCATGAAGGTGACAGCTGGAATCTCCTTTGCCATCCCTTCTGATCGCCTTAGGGAGTTTCTGCATCGTGGAGAAAAGAAAAGTGAGCCTGTCTTCTTTAAAATGGAGGATGAGACATAGGGGAGGGACATTCTTTGGGATTTGCTGGAGAGAGTACTCTTGTTAGGAGTAGGGAAAGAAGGTTATAGTTGGGTGGGGCTCATTTGTCCCCTTTTCACAGATTCCTGGTTTGGAATCGGTGGGTCCCAGCGCCGCTACATTGGAGTGATGATGCTGACTCTTACTCCCAGGTATTTTAGGGGTCATGATGTATGAGACCACGAGTGTTCTCTGTGGTACACAACTCTGGGCTTTGGTCTAAAGCCTATTTTTATCTAAGATGAACTGCTATCCATTGTCACAAGAGCTGTTCACATCATAACTTTCTTACCCTACTACATCTTGTATCCATGTGATTAGATTAATTCCATCCTATTACTGCTGTGATTTAAAGCCTTCAATCCATTGATACAGCATTAAAGGGCTATTTCCACACATGGCTTATTGCTTCTACAGGAGTTCTTTGATTTCCCACTCCCATGAGACCCATCCCTCTAGGCTCAGCTTAAATTCTGCTTCTCCTTAAAACAGAATTCTAGAATGGCATTAGCACAATTGATTTAACACTGTGTATCATTTGGAATTAGTTATATTTTATGTATATATGCCAATTCCTAAGTATAGAAGACTTAGAGCGTGTGCTGCCTTTGTATCTGTGGTATCTAGTGTGTGTCCTGGCAATACATTTGCCAGTGTGTTGATGAGAGACTTGAAATTAAGAGGGCCTGGGTGTGGCTAATAGGGTGATCTCTGTTCTTTCAGCATCCTTGCTGAACTACAGCTCCGAGAACCAAGCTTTCCTGATGTTCAGCATGGCGTCCTCATCCACAAAGTCATCCTGGGCTCCCCTGCACACAGGTGAAAGAGAGTCTGCTATGTGAAGGGTTAGGAGCTATGTGCATGTATCCTCAAGCTCGGCCATCTCCTCCTTCCTTGCTCTCTGTCCATCCCTCCACAGGGCTGGTCTGCGGCCTGGTGATGTGATCTTGGCCATTGGGGAGCAGATGGTACAAAATGCTGAAGATGTTTATGAGGCTGTTCGAACCCAATCCCAGCTGGCAGTGCAGATCCGGCGGGGATCAGAAACACTGACCTTATATGTGACCCCTGAGGTCACAGAGTGACGGGATTAGCAAGAGTACAGGGCTTCTTGCCTCCCTAGCCTGGATTCTGAGGGCACCTGGGCATAGGAATCAATGAACCACTGGGGGGCAGGTCCCTCTAACCATCAGCACCAATCCTGGACTCTGAAGAACACTTTTTATATAAAATAAAATTACACTGAGCAACATGATATAGCCAAAAACAGGGGGCTGGATTTTTTTCCCCCCACCAAAAAGCTAGAGGTAAAGCTATATCTCCCATGAACTTAGAACTCTGGGAGATGACCTTCCTGACCTCCCCATTCAAGGTAATGAGCTGCTGCCATTCCTGGTGGGGCAGTTCTTTGTAGTGCACTCGGCCTGGTGCTAGGCTGGCTGCTGATTCTCCATGCTTGGCCAGGGATACTGACAGCAGGCCCAGGAAGGGAGGGCTAACTGTAAAGTGCTAACTTCTGCTGACATCAGGGGTTCCATGTAAGCTCCTGAGGTAATGGCAGCCTCAGACCCCCCATTGGGGGCCAGTGGTGGTTTGCAGAGGAGGGTGGTGTGGTGGCACTTTAGACGATCTGTGACCTTCCTGACCTCCCCATTCAAGGTAATGAGCTGCTGCCATTCCTGGTGGGGCAGTTCTTTGTAGTGCACTCGGCCTGGTGCTAGGCTGGCTGCTGATTCTCCATGCTTGGCCAGGGATACTGACAGCAGGCCCAGGAAGGGAGGGCTAACTGTAAAGTGCTAACTTCTGCTGACATCAGGGGTTCCATGTAAGCTCCTGAGGTAATGGCAGCCTCAGACCCCCATTGGGGGCCAGTGGTGGTTTGCAGAGGAGGGTGGTGTGGTGGCACTTTAGACGATCTGGTTGCTGGTCTGGCCAGGGTAGCGCTCAAACCTCCTATTGGCCTCTTCGCTGAAGGCATCACCTGCAGGGTTTACAGGCACTGTGAGGGTTCCCTGTACAGAGGCAGGATCACATCCATTGTAGGGGAAGGCTGGGGAGATGCAGAAACCACTTAGGGAATGAAGGCCTTTCCCTCCATCTTCCATTGTTCCCTATCACCCTTCCCATCAAATACCAATGTGACAGTTGTGCACCCAGATGCGGTGTCCATCATATTTGCAATTACACTTCATTGCATTGTTGGTGAAGTCACTCTCTGCTACCTCAAAATTTGGGTTGATGACCACCTATGAGTTAAGAGAGGAAGCCGACCTGACCCAGCTGCACTGTCTCCAGTCTAAAGGTGTTTTGAGTAGTACTCCCAACCAACTAACTAAAGCCCCAGGCAAATGCTGAGCACCTGGAGAATGTAGTTTCCTGGCTTCACATCTGTGATGTCAATCCATTGACAGTCGATGTCATGCCTGTAGAGATCCCAGCAACCTACGGTGATACCTTGCTCTCCGAAGTTGGCACATTCATACCTTTTGGCGACATCTGAAGGGAATGGGATATGTCAGTGAAAGGCAAGTGTGTGCTTTGGCCTCAGTCCACTCTATATTCCAACTCACCTTCCTGACACTCAGTGTCCTCAAGACAGAAACTAGCTTTGTGGCCCTCAGCCACCTTGGTGCCGTTGGGGGTCAGGATATCATAGTGAGTGAAGATGTCCATGCTGTGGTAATGCCTGTGGGGACAAGGGAACTTCTGTTTCTTTCTCTGACCCCAGCAGGCTTGCCCTGTCCCTTGGAGTCTTGCCTTTCTAATGGATCCCTTCTGCCCTCTCACCCATGGCACTCATGCCACACCCAGGAATGGCGCCCAGCCTTGGGCCTGAAGTCAGCTCTTCCCAGGTTGTGGATCTGGGAGGAGAATCTGAGTAGACGACGGTGGCCATAAGGCCAGTTGGCCAAGCGGGCAGAGCTGGCCAGGCAGTTCTCTTCAGCAGCACAGTACAACATGTGCAGCGGCCGGTCCTCGATGTAGGCAGTCTCCTGCACTAACGCTGAGTGCAGCAGCAGATCTGAAGCAGCTGCATGAGAAGGGAGTGGTGGAAGCTACTGTTGAGGGTGTTTCCATCCCCCAACAGGGAGACTGGCTTCTCATGGCCAAGGAGTTCCCCTCTAGATCACAGAACCCATCTCCCTCCAAAGGGGTGGCCCAGAGCCTCACTTCCCTGGCTTGTACCACCCACCCATCACTCACTCTCAGAACAGATGACTCCAGCTGTGAATCGGGTCCCTGTCTTCTTGCAGGTGACATGTGTTCTGTGATGGGCGCATTGGTCCAGAGACAGCTCAGACCCTATGCAATGTACTCCACTCATCACCACCTCGGTTACATTCCCTGAGTCCCAGTACCAGGTCTCCTGGGGACATATGTAGGTGTTTCTGTGAGGCCATAGGTTCCAGCCTCCTTGGACTAGGGACTCAACTCCACAGTCCTTTGCCCCAAATGCAGGCTTTGACTACAACAGCTTTGGTTTCCCTCTCTTCCTTTCCACTTACCTGCAGGCCGTGGTTGGCGTAGCCCAGACCAAGTTGCCTACAGGCCACCATGGCCTCCAGCGTCCCCCAGTCATCTCCACAGATAAGGCCCCAGCGAAGATGCCCAGGTTCCCCTATTTGCACCTCGATTCGCCCCTCATATCGGCTGCGGCCCCCACTGAGTCTGATCTGTAGTGGTACAGAGTGGAAGCACAGGGGGAGGCTTTTGGAATGGCAGTCTATAAGGGAACAGAGATAGCAAGTGGCAGGGTTGTGTGGGAATTGTAGAATGCTGGGATCCTGGGGTTAATGACTAGGGGCATTCAGGCTGTGGACTGGAGGCCAGGCCTGGGTAGAATGACCCAGAGTAGAATATATGACTGACCTTGGTTTCTACCCCAGTGTAGGGTAAGTTGCATCGGACCCCAGCATCCTGGCTATGGGAACAGTCCTCAGCTGTGATATTCTTGTAAGGGCACTTCCAGAGGGAGGGTTCCTGACCAGAGCACTGAACTTCACTCAAGTGAATGGCACCCATACCTAGGGTCAGAAATCAGGCCTCAGAAGATTGTAACTAGATCTTTATTGCCCAGAGAACTCCATACCTTTCCAAGGAATGTACCCCCAGGAGTGTGAACTTCCTTTCTTCTCACCCTGCCCCATGCGGGCGCCACTCAGGGCCTCTCGAGCAGTGCCAAAGCCCAGCTCCCGACACACCACACTGGCTGCCTGCAGGTCCCACTTTCGGTCACAGACTGTGCCCCACGTGCCAGCCTTCAGAACTTCTACCCGGCCCTCTCCAGGGTGGGCACCACCCTTTAGACGTACACGGGCCTGTAGAAGAGACATACCCAACTGATGTGAATGGAAACATTGGCCAGGGGTGGGGTGGGGTTAAATAGCCCAAGGAGATGAGTTTTGGTGAGAGCAAGTGGGCGTTGTCAGGTCTGTGGTACCCCACTCCCCCAGGTTCCTCTCAGTCTTCAAAGGTCAGGGCTATGCTTAGTGAGGGCGGCAGTCAGACTAGGGGGTTTACACCTGGGGTGGAAAAAGGTCACAGTCACTGTCTTGGCCCCAAAGGCATAGCTGAATGATAGGTTTGCCTATTGTGTGTGAGGCCCTGACTTCAGTCCCCAGCACAGCAAAAACAAAAGGAAAACATTGTCTCACAGACCTCCCCCAGAGGCTTTGACTGTTGATGCTTCTTCAGACCAGTGGTGTAGAGAGGGCCCAGCACACAGCTCACCACTGCAGGGCTCCCCCCAGGGCACCTGGTGGTGTCATTGGCACGATAGAACTCCAGGGAACAGAGGGAGAGGTGGGCCTCTGTGCCCACACAGGCTACTCCATGTAGCCCAAAGGAGTGTTGCTGCCTCTGAGCCAGCAGCCTGTGGGGACAGGAATGAGGTACAGTAGGGTGAAACAGTGTTTGTGCCTCCCTGCTCCATTGCTGTGGAGCATGTCACATCTCCCCACCCCCAGCCTCTTATTCCTCTCCCTGCTCCCTTCTGTGCTCTCCTTAGAAGAGACGGGGGTTGCAAGTGCCTAGGCTGAAAGAGCTTTGACTCCTCAGATACAAGGGTCCTTGGGGGACCTTCTGCAGCAGCAGAACTCTAGGGGAATGATGACCAGGGTTGCCTTGCCTGACAGAAACCTTGTTCCCAGTGGTTTTAGGCTGGTGTACAAATTAAATGGGAAGCTGAAAGATGATCAGGAGGCAGTTGCTGTCATAAAAAGGAGCAGACCCTTCTATTACTCTGTGACTGAATCAGTCAAATGACTAAATGAGCCAGGAGGCAAAGGACTGAGGAACTCTGGATTTAAATGGCTTCTCAGAAGTCGGAGTGGCTGTAAGAGTAACAGACTAGGTGGCAGCATGAAGGACCGGCAGACATACCCTGGAATGAGGACAAACACAAGACACAAAAGTTGTTGGGGCTGGAGAGATGGCTCAGCAGTTAAGAGCACTGGCTACTCTTGCGGATGACCTGGCTTTGGTTCCCAGCACCCACACGGTGGCTGACAACCATTCTTAACTTCAGTTCCAGGGAGTCTGACACTCTCTTCTGGCCTCTGAAGGCATTGCATACACATTTTAAAAAAAAAAAAAAAAAAAAAAAAAAGGCCAAAAAGTTGGAGGGACTACATGGCCAAAGAAGGAAGGTGGCTCTGGATGACAAAATGACAAAGATGACCCCAGACCTGAGCCAAGCTGCAGATGCCTTTAATGAGGTAGTCCATACTTCTGCAGGTTCAACCAAGTATTGCCCACAGCCATCTGAGCAGGAAAATAGAACAAAACTAGAGATAGTAAAGCAGTAACATGCCTGAAAGAAGGGACCTCACAAATATCAATGGAACCAGAGCTTGCAGTGAGGTGTGGGGGAGAGGGGACCATCTTCCCAGAACAGCTGGGTGCAGATGAGGCCTGATTTGGATGGTGGTGAAGTGCTTAATAGCTGTGAGGCAGGGAGGCATGAGCTCAGGGAGTGGGCCCTTGAGGCCGATTTGATGTGCATTATTGCAGTAAGGTGTCCCAACCCTGACATCTGAGGAAAGAAGGACTATGACCTGAAGCCATTGGCTAGGAAGACTCAGGAAGAGGAGAAATCTGTAAACAAAACAGGCAAAGGAAGCTGGAGGCTGTAGAGAATGCCTTTGGAAGCTCAGGATAAATGGATTCTGAAGATCAAAGGGATCAGGTACTCTCTCAATGTCCTGCTGGGCTGAAAAGAAAAGTCAGAGAGGTCATAACAGGAACTAACTTCTCAAAAGGCCCTCCTCTCTGCTCCCTACAACCAATAAAAACAGCCATGCTTTAATGGGGTGGGGGTAGGGGTGAGGGACGAGAGCAAAGGATGGTTAAGTTGAGCAAAGATGACCCCAAGCTAAAGGGGATTGCAAGAAGCCTCCCCTAGTTCTGAACTCTTACAACCACCAGAGGGTGTATGCCCAGGACTGAGGCATACCATGGAGACCTAGGGTGATGCAGGAGTTTGCTGAGAGGTGGGGACAATGGGAAAGGATGGATTCTCTGGACCTCAATGCTCTCTAAGTTTTAAGGGAGATTTTAGTGTGTAGACTGCCTTTTAGAGACAAGTTAGATGGAAAGGTTGGAAGTTTCCTACTCCCCTGAGTTCTGAGGGAGCCTAGGAGGAAAATATGGAACCGGAAGCCAGCCAGGTAGGGGCTTTGAATCTCAATCCATATCTGGAAAGGTTCCAAAGGCAACCCTGAGTCTCATGCCACACCAGGTAAACTGGTAATGTTTACTTTATAAATAAAAAGAACCGACCAAATAAAGCAGGATGTGAACACTGGTTCCATAAACACATGTACTCCTGTGGGAAGAGGCAGGTGCAGTGTCTGAAGGGGGAAAATGCTGGATTATCTACTAGAACTCATGGGAAGAAGAACACATAGGTCAAGAACCAAAAGTCCTATAACAAGCACAATCCCCCAGAGACCCACATCAGGCCTCTTTTTTTTTTTGTCTTTTTGAGACAGGGTATCTCTGTAGCCCCAGCTGGCCTGGAACTCGCTTTGTAGACCAGGCTGGCCTTGAACTCACAGAGATCTGCCTGCCTGTGCCTCCCAAGTGCTGGGATTAAAGGCACGAGCCATCATACCTGGCTCCTCTTTACATTTCTAACAGGATCTCGAAGGTGGTTGTCAGAGCTGCTATTCCTCCACCTCTACATCAGCTCCAACAGTCCAGTAGGGCTGTCTCAGAACCCCCGCCCTGGTTACAGCCTAGTTCCCCCACTGCCTTTGTCCTCTGTTTCTAGCCCCAACTTTATTTACCTCTTGCTTGGCCCTCTGCCCACTTGGGACTTGTGTTTGACTTTAAACTTGGTGATTGGTCTGCAAAAAGGAGAAAGATTGGTAGAGGCAGTGGTTGAGGATGTGGCCCAGGGAAAGTGGAGGATTTGTTTCTGTATCAAGTGAGAAAGAGGTTAGCTGAAGGTCAAGGAAGGAGACTATGGGGATGTTCTGGACTAAGGGAACTAAGGAGCTGGGTGTGGGGAGAAGGAGGAATGCAGGGGGCTGAGGCTACAATCCTAGCCATTAGGGAGAAGTAGATGATGCTTTTCCTCAGTTGCTTCTATATTATTTCCTCCTTTTGTTCCTTAACAGCAAAGGTCCCCCATTCCCATGCCTGCCTCCCCTCCCTCCCCTGGGGACAGCCATTTCCAGTCACATCCCTAATTCATCAGTGTGGGTTCTGGGATGGACTTGGATAGGCTGCTATCCATCCATCCACCTCCTGAGGCCTCAGGGGTGGGCAGGAGGTCCCAGGGGTCTTGCCCTATTACCTTCCAAGAGGCTTGGGGCCTCGGGTTGAGGCTCTGGCCATTCGCTTCCTCAACTTTCTGTGAGGGTAAGACAATACCAAGTCAGGATGAGTGTAGAATCAAGTGGGAAACGTCAATGCAGCCAGAACCAGGGGCAAGATTCCTTTCCCATCAGTCAGGGAGCTCCCAATAGTAGGATATGATGTCATCAGATATTCCCAAGGCCCTATCCTTCTACCACATGACCTGGTGGATGAGCAGCAGTGCAGACTTGGACTCAGAACAAATAGTGTCCCAATACCTAGACCTTCAGAAATCAGACCAAGGCAGACTAGGATTGAGGGCTCCTGGGCAAGGTTGGTAGTAAACCCCAGGGGAGGGCACAGGGGAAGCCCACTGGAGTTTTGAGGACAGAGAACTAGCTTGGGTTAGGCCAAGGGAAGCTGACTGCATCTCTTTTACTTCTCTCTTTCTTTTGTGCTTTTTTTTTTCTTTTGGATGCTCTTTCCAGAGCCAAGGACCAAGCTAAATAACTGAGGACATTAGCCAAGTTTGGCTGGGGAGTGTCTTTCCTGCTCAAGTTCTAATCCCATATGCCTGGCCATTCATAAGCTGAGCTCCTCTCCCAAACTTCCTCTCAGGGAAGTAAATTATTTATTTATTTAATTTTATTTTAATTAATTAATTAATTTATTTATTTTTGAGACAGGGTCTCCTTGTAGACCCAGCTGGTCTGGAACTTACTATGTAGACCAGGTGAATCATAGAGATTCACCTGCCCTGCCTCCTGAGTGCTGGGACTAAAGGCATGCACCACCACACCCAGCCTAAGTTTTAATTGTCCTGAAGAATTGAGTTATTTAATTGCCCAGGTGCTTTCCTTAAGTCTGATGTCTTAACTAAAACAGGAACCAGGTCTGTTTTTCCTCTCATTTTCCCTTTAAATTTGAAGCCTTTTAAATGAAATTTTATGTGTATGGGTCTTCTGGCCTGAATGTATATAAGTGCACCATATGTTTACAGTGCCAGAGCAGGGCAGAAAAGGGCCCTGAATTCCCTGGAACTGGAGTTACAGATGATTCATAGTTATCATGTGGGTTCTGGGAACCAAACCCAGGTCCTATGCAAGAGCAACCAGTACTTTTAACCACTGAGCTGTCTCTCCAGTCCCTAATTTTGAAGACTTTAATTATGGCTACTCTTTGTCCTATCCAAGTGTTGTAGGTTGGGTTTTCTTGTTTTGTTTTTGGGGGTTGGGGGGATTGAGATACAGAGACAGGGTTTTGAAATGTAGTCCTGGCTGGCATATATCTCGCCATGTAGACTAGGGTAGACTTGAACCAATGATGGTTCTCCTGCCTTTATCTTCCAAGTGCTGCAACTACAGGATTGAACCACCAGGCCAGATGATGCCTGGAACTAGAGTTACAGTCAGTTGTGAACTGCCATGTGCCTGCTGGGAACTGAAGCGAGGTCCTCTGCAAGAGTATCAAGTGCTTTTAAGTACTGAGCCATCTCTCCAGTCTTTTCTTCTTTTCTCCTCCTTCTTCTTTTTAGGTTTATAGAGTTCCCAGTGATCATCTTGTCTTTTCTTTGACCATATTCTTGCTCTGCTATTTCTCTTGTGTAGTCACAAGTTTTGACATACTGTACTGTGTGAAGGTGCACTAGGATTTTAATATATGAATTTCATATTTATTATTTTTTTTCTGAGTGTAGCCCAGGCTTGTGTTGCACTTCTGTTGGTCCTCTTGCCTCAGCCTCCCAAGTGATAGAAGTACAAGCTTGTGCCATCATCAGGCAGGGCTTTTGTTTCACATTTATTTTATTTTGAGACAGGGTCTCACTATGTAGCCCTGGATGGCTTGAAATTGGCTATGTAGCTCAAGCTTGGCTTTGAACTCACAGAGATCCACCTGCCTCTGCCTCCTGAGTGCTGGGACTAAAGGCATGCGCCACCATGCCCAGCTGAGAGAATATCTTTTTTTTTTTTTTTGTATTTTTGAGACAGGGTCTTCCTGTAGCCCCAGCTGTCCTGGAACTCATAATGTAGACCAGGCTGGCCTCAAACTCACAAAGATCTGCTTGCCTCTGCCTCTCGAGTCCTGGGATTAAAGGCGCGTGCCACCACGCCTGGCAGATGCCCTGTATTTTTGCTTCTACCACCTTTCTTGCTTTATTTTATTTTTATGCCTGGGTTTCTATGTTGCCCAGGCTGGCCTGGAATTCTTGAATTCATGATCCTGCTGCCTCAGCCTCTCAAAAGTTGGGAATACAGGCACCACCGTGTTTTGCCCCTATAGTCCATGTTAAGAAACAGAGCAGTTGGGGCTGGAGGCTGGAGAGCAGACTCAGCAGTTAAGAGCACTTGCTGCTCTTGTAGAGGACCTGAGTTTGGTTCTCAACACTCACAAGAGGCAGCTCACAACCACCTGTAACTCCAGCTCCAGGGGATATAACATCCAGGGGGATACAATACCCTCATTTGGCCTCTGAAGATATCTACTCACATGTGGCACACACACACACATACACACACAAAGAAATAAATCTTAAGAAGCAGAGCAGTCAAAATAATAAGGGTCAGGAAGATGATTCAGTAGGTAAAAGCTCTTGCCATGCAAGCCTGACAATCTGAGATGATCCCAGGAATCCACAGCGAGAAGAGACAACTGAGTCCTAATTGTTCTTTGACTTCCACACATGCACCATGGCATATACTCACCCATACACACATCACATACACTAATAATTAATACAACTAAATTAATAAGAATCAAATGTCATATCTCAGTTGGGTGTGGTGGTTGTAAAGCCTATAATCTGACCACTTGAGAGGTGGAGGCCAGAGGATAAGGAGTTCAAGGCCAGACAGGGCTATGTGAGACGTGGTCTCAAACAAAGCAAACTAACAACACTTGTGGGGGCTGTGGGATGGCTCATCACAGGAAGGACTTGTCAAATCTGACAACCTGAGTTCAATCCCTGGGACCCACAGGAGAGAATCCACTCCTGCAAGCTGTCCTTTGACCTCCATCTGTGCAAGGTTGCACTTGCTTGACAATACACACTCATGTGCACACAAAATAATAAAGTAACAACAAAGCAAAACCCAAAACAAACACGTCTACTCAAAGCCTCCAACAGTTCCTTATTTCACAGAGTAAAAGCCCAAGTCTCCCAAATGGCCTACCTAGATGTAGTTCACTGTGTCCTCCCTCCCACCATCACATTGCCTGCTATTTTCACCCCCGTTCACCTCAGCTCCAGCCACACTGATGTGAAGAAAACAGGAATGCCTTGTCTCCTCCCCCCACCTCTTATCATTTCTCTTCCTCATCTATGTCTGTGTGGGGTGTACCCTCACCATTTTAAAATCCTCCTCATTTAGGGAAAAAACCTTATTTACCATCTATGGCCATATATGATTGGGTATATATATGATTAAAATCATGAATCATGGGAAAAGACATAAGTGCTGAATAAAGGCTTACATAATCCAAGCCTCCAATCGAAACAGGAAACCAGCCATGTTTCACCCCTTAGCAACCAGCAACTCTCCTCCTAGACCCACAAAAGGAAGCCCTGGGCATTGGCCAGATGGTTTTGGGCACTCTAGCTCAGGTAGCTTGCTGCTTTCTTGCTGCATATCTAGAAGCATCTGGTTCTGATAGAGACCACCGATAACACTAACATCCTTCTATTTTATGTTTACTTACTGATTCTCCCATAGTTTATCAGATTGAGAATTTTTGTTTTATTGTTGAATCCCTAAAGTCTGCAATAGAACCTGACCTAGTGGGTCTCTAAGTGTTGGATGAATGAATCTCTAAGCCATCTCATCCTCTTCTTTTGGAATAACTGCTATTTAAATCCTACTACTCTTTATAAAAAATTTGTTATTTTATGTGTATGCGTGTATTGCCTGCATGTAGGTAAGTGCACCTGTGTCATGCAGTGCCCATGGAGGACAGAAGAGGCTATCAGACCCTCTGGAACTGGAGTTACAGTTAGTTGTTAGCTGCCTTGTGGGTGCTGCCTGGTCTTCTGCAAGAACAGCCAGTGTTCTTAACCGCTGAGCCATCTCTCCAGCCCCTGTCCTACTACTCTTTTAGAACGTGGTGTTTGGATTCTGAAAGGTAAAGAACAAGTCCAGAGGAAGAAACAGGCCAAGATGGATGACAGTAAAGAAGCACAGCACACAGCCGTTTTAAAATGGTGTCAATCTCTAGGCAGCTAAGCTGTATTCCTTAGGGCTGAAAGGACTTTCAGATGTGTCTCCACACCACGGTAAAGAAAATTCCAGCAAATATGGAAATAAGTGGTTATTAGATAATATATTGACTTTCAAAAGAAAGAAAGAAAGAAAGATTCCTCAATCTATATGTAAGTTCTATTTAAGAACAAGTTATTAAACAGTTTATGAGCATTTAGGAAAAAAGCATGGCGGTTCTTACAGATCTAAAATGATTTCAATATTACTTTCAAACCACCATGATGACCTTTTGTGGGAGGATTATTACTAAATTGAAGGGATGGAGTTGGCTGTGAACATAGTGTTAAGACTAACAAAAGCGCCCACGATTTCATTATAAAGAAGACAGTGAAATATTGGTTATATCACTTTCGTGTTCTGCCCAGTATATATTAATGTTCAAAATGCCACTTTATCAGTAAGATTAGACTTGAGACGATTTTCTGTCTCAACAGAACGAGGTAATGCAGACTTCCTTCAAAGACGAGCTTTTCTACAAGTACCCTGCCCTTACAGACCACATCTGAAGCACTGCTCAGTGGAAAGTCATCTAGGCGTCAAGAAGCCCATCAGCAAGTGAAACAAGGACGAACTTAAGAAAACAAGCATTCGTGGCCTGCAAAATAGGCTGCAGACTGATACTGGAAAGATCTCCAAGTACCTGCATGGCTCACATAGGCTGTTTATCAAAACTATCAAATTAGATGCTCTGTTACGGAAGCCGCTGAAAACCGTTGACCAGGATGACCCCGCCCTGGAGGCCTACGCGGAACGCCAGGTCCAGGGCAGATGGAGCTGGCCAGCGCCGGACAAGGACGACCAGGCGGCCCTGGCGGGCGTGCTGGGCCGAGATGAGGCCCGAGCTCTCGCGTCGCTCGGGTACTGGCTAGCAGTCCCGAGCCCTCCGGTGCAACTTGGCGAAAGCAGCCTGAGCGAGGTGAGCAGCTACCTCTCCTGAACTCGGGTCACCCCGAAGCCCGAGAATCTGCTAGCCGGCGGTGACATCACCCAGGCGCATGCGCAGCCCGCGGCGAAGCGGGAACCTAGCGGTACTTGCTTCCAAGCCTGGTTGGAAAAACCCTTCGTGGTCCCCCTAGTCTCCACCTCGCCAGTCACTGCAGCCTCCCTGTATTCCTTCTCCCAGACCCCGGCTTCACGCAGTGCCTCGCCCCTTTCCGCTCACCTATAGAAGGCCGTGTTGACTCTTTTTTCTCCAGGGAAGCCCAGCATGCCGCAGATCACATGGCTGTTGTGGGTGCTCCAGCCTTTGTCACACACTTGCGACCAACCATCGAGAAGCCTGACTTCAACCAGTCCTTCAGTCACGGGCAGGGGTCGCCTGCCCCGCCCCACGGCTGGTCGAAGTCGCACCTCCTCCACTTGCAGGTGATGCTCCACCTGAAGTGGGACCAGAGGGAGGGGAAAGAATTACAGTAGCACCTCTTACATGCCCTGCCACCCTTAAGGAGCCTTGATTGAGTGTGTCTGTTGTAAAACCCAAGGTTAAGAAAGATGCCGGGCCTGCTGCCAGTCTAGGGTATGCCTGTTCTGCACTGGCTGAGTGATTGACTATGCTAAGCCCTGAGAAATAATCAAAGCAGGCGGAAGGCGCTGAAGAAGGGAACCAGTTTTAACTGCACGGGAGCGTGAAAGTTCTCAATGGAAGTGTCTCAGGAGGAGGAAGTAAGATGGGAGAGTTAGGGAAAGGAGGAACATCTGGGGAGGAGAAGGTGACTAGGAATGAAGTTGGAAAGGCTCATGCCAGCTTTAGTAATTTCTATGTGCTGTGCTTCAAAAAATTTGGATTTTACAGCATCTCATTTGCCCTCTTACAAGCCTCAAGCCTCCCAGAAATCTAAATTATCCCATGAAGGCTAATGGATCCCTTATCTTCTAATATGTCTTCTAACCACATAGGACCACCCCAGAGCCTTCTCTGGACATCATGTATATTGTGTGTGTGTGTGTGTGTGTGTGTGTGTGTGTGTACTTCAGACCTCAATGACATTGGAATCTGAGAAGCCAGGAAGGCGCTGGTCCTTGCAGATGACCCCGGCATCCTCATCGTGTGTGCAGTCACTATTCCCCCAGCCCCGGGAGGTACATTCAGTCACACTTCCCTCAGTCCCACTGCAGCTCAGGTTGTCCAGCCAGATTCGGCCTGAGGAAAGGAAGATGAAGAGACAAATAAGTGCTTAGGGGGGACGGATGAAGGAATGATAGGGATGTTGGGGAGCGGGAACATGGTGGCATCATGTGGCCTTGAGGATAATTTTGGTTTTCTGATGCGAAAAGGATGGAGAGAGGACAGGGGATCTGGAGGGGAAGAGGAAAGAGCATAAGATGGATAAAAAGTTGGTGGTGATCTGGGGATACTGAGAATTATTACATAGGGTGAATTAAAAAACAAAACAAAACCCAAGAATTGACACTGAAGTTCTGATCAGCTCTTATCCCTTCAATGATAGCTATAATTAAGTACATACTGTGTGTCAGATGTTCTGTATGGAGTGTACATCCTTCTTAGAAGGGAGCTTCCAGAAGACCATTTTATGTAAAAAGACCGGGGAATCTAACAACTTGCCTAGGAGTTTGATATATCATTGAGACTTGGAAATTTTAGAGTCTTTTCACCTCACCCTGACATTCTCCTACAGGACATTCTCTATATGCTCGTCTTGCTTGCTGCCATGGACTCCTTTGTTTTTGCTGTCTGGACCATACTGAGTATCAAGTGACTTTCTCTTAGAACTGGAAAGACCCTCAAAGGTGTGTATCCCCATCACTCATAGTCTAACAAGGCTTACCCTTCTGCCCCACCAGGCCACATAACCACCAGAAAGTCCTTATGAGGCTTTACGACTTTCTTCTACCAGGCCTGATGCAGTCCTTTGATGCCATCCAGAAAACCCCTCAGTCACATGACCAACAAGTTGAACATCCATGATGTAATTGCTATCCAAGGCTTTTTTTTTTTGAAACAGGGTCTCCCTGTAGCCCCAGCTGGCCTGGAACTCATTATATAGACCAGGCTGGCCTTGAACTCACAGAGATCCGCCTGATTCTGCCTCCCAAGTGCTGGGACTACAGGCATGCGCCACCATGCCTGGCTATCCAAGGCTTTTTTATTTCCATGCCAAACTTTTGGTTTCCTGAAATATAGCTTCTGAATCTTTCACATGGGGCAGCTCTCCCTCGAAAGTCCATTCACTGTCTCTCCTTCTGTCTGTCTGTCTCTCTCCTCCCTCTCTCTCTCTACCCTGAGGACTGAATCCAAGGCTGGGCAAGCACTCTGCTTTTGAACTATATCCCTAGTCCAGCATTTCCATTTTCTACTGTCTGTCCCAAAACGTGTCTACAGGGCTGGAGAGATAGCTTAGGGGTTAAGAGCACTGGCTGTTCTTGCAGAGAACCCAAGTTCAATTCCCAGCTCCCACAGGGTGGTTAATAACCATTTCTAACTCCAGTTTCAGGGGAATCTGACAGTCTCTTCTGACTTCTGCAGACATTGCACGACATGGGTGCACTTACATGCATGATACATGCAGGCAATACATTCATATACATAGAAAAAAAATGAATCTACAAGTGACTCTTTGTCTCGTGGGTGGTATAGGTAGTGGGAACTGGGTATCAGCAGCAGGTTGCAACCATGTCTGTCTATTGCTTCCACTATGGGTCCATATGGTCTGAGCACCTCCAGCCTCAGAGCACTGTGCCCCTACCCCCACACTCACACTTGTCCCACATCGGTTCCAGCTTGTTAGTTTCAGCTCTAGTGGGGAACCTGATTTTGTCAGCTGTAGTATGTAACTTTTTCCAGCTGTGGGACAGCCTTCCAGTGGTGGGTCAGCCAGACCTCATTCACTTGTTCTCAGAGTCCCCTGAAGCCAACTATATTTTGAGCATTCAGTTTGAGGGTTCACCTGCACTGGGCTGTCCTTGTGCATGGCTTTGTAGAATCCTACTTTGCAGAATGAAACTTTGTAATCTTTTCCTCAATGTGCACAAGGAATATGGGAAGCAGTGCTTAGCCTCAGGTTACATGGCTCTGCAAGTAACTTTGTTGAATGGTTCTTCACCCATGGATTTACTTAATTTTTTTTTTCTTTGGTCTTTTTGAGACAGGGTCTCCCTGTAGCCCCAGCTGACCTGGAACTCACTATGTAGACCAGGCTGGCCTTGAACTCACAGAGATCCGCCTGCCTCTGCCTCCCAAGTGCTGGGATTAAAGGCGTGCGCCACCACGCCTGGCTGGATTTACTTAATTTTTTAAAAAATATTTATTATTTTTATTTTATGTGTATGTGTGTATTGCCTGCATGTAGGTAAGTGCACCCCTGTCATGCAATGCCCACGGAGGACAGAAGAGGCTGTCAGATCCCCTGGAACTGGAGTTATGGACAGTTGTTAGCTGCCATGTGGGTGCTGGGATTCAAACCCAGGTCTTCTGCAAGAACAACCAGTGTTCTTAACCACTAAGCCATCTCTTCAGCCCCCAGATTTACTTAATTTTATCTATTCTTGATGACCTGTCCCTCTGGCTGTGCCATCCTGATGTCCCTTCCTTTGTACTTGAGCTGAATTTAGGTGACGTTTGGGCTATGCCTGGAGCATTGCTTACCTGTTCCTGGGCCATATTTGGCACTATGGGTCCAACCAGTGGCCTCTGTGAAGCCCAGCTCCCGGCAGAGGACGTGTGCAGCCTGCAGCGTGAAGTCATCATCGCAGATGGTGCCCCATTCACCTGCTTGATGTATCTCCACTCGGCCCTCATAGGGCTTTCTAGGGAAGCCAGCCAGCCGGAATCGCAGCCCCTGGCTTCCTGCCTTCTTCTCTGGGCCCATGGAGGGGGATGGAGACTCCAAGCTGGAGCTGCTCAGCAAACCCAGCAGCAACAGTCCCCATGGGCACCATTGCCACACATTAACAGGTCGCATGGCAGGAAAGGCCTGAGAGAGAGAGAGAGAGAGAGAGAGAGAGATATGCTGGCAGTAAGGAACAGAGAGATAGTGAGAGACACACTAAATGAGGGCATGGGTACAAAGCAAACAGGCACAGCCTTAGAGACCTAGATTGGGGGTGAGGGAGGGAGGCTCTCCTTCCTTTTTGTAAATAATAAAATTTTTATAATTAGTTTTTATGTCCCACAATGTCCTTTCCTAGTTCTGCCATCATTATCATTATCATCATTATCTCCATTTACGAGAGAGAGAGAGAGAGAGAGAGAGAGAGAGAGAGAGGAGAGAAGAGAGGGAGGAGAGAGGAGAGACCAGGAGTCTCTTTATATCTCCCCAGATATAAAGATATAGAGATTGAGAAGAGACACAGAGAGGAAGACCCAGACAGACAGGATGTGAGAGGAAGGGAGACTGTGGGAAAGCAGAAAGACACAAGGGTCACACAAGGGTGATATTCAATATCCATTGAATATGGATTGTTGATAGAGAACCAAATACACAGTAGCACTGGGAAGTGATGCAGAGGCAGAAACATGAAGAGAAGGAATAAAAGCCAAGGAGCAGACATGGGAAGAATGACAGGATGGCCAGGCGGCCAGACAGACTCAGATAATAGAACTGATTGTGGCAGGCAAGGGGAACCTGGAAGACCTTCATATTTCAGAACTCTGAATGAGAGGGCTAGTCCCATGGGGACAGATGCCCAGGCAGTAAGAGCTGAGGCTAAAGGGTGCATGGAGAACCCACTGTACACCCTCCCTAGCACATGGGCTCACAGATAGCCTTCAGAGTCAAGGGGTCCCGGAGGGCTAGGCTTCATGCTGGGCAGGGTTTGGGGTGGGGTTGTCCAAGTTTCCTGTCAACACCACTGTGGCTGTCACTGGGCAACCAGAGGCTAGGCTGTCTGCTCCTCAGCTCAGGCCTTCTCTATCCAAGGCTAAAAACAGCTCTCTGCAGCAAGGGGGCCTGTATTGCTTCCCCCAACTCAGACAAGACAGCTTTGTTCTGGGGATATTTTGGCTTGGAGGTCCTGGAGGAAGGTTTAGGGCCCTCCGAGCTGCACCCTGCAGTCTCTATCCCCAGTATACTCAGCTCTTAACTATTCTTGTGTCTCCCCTTTAGCAATAATAAAACTGTCATTTGGTTGGCTTCCCCTACTCCAGCCCGCACCACCCTTTTTCCTGGTCCCTCCACTATCCTCTCCATCCCCAAATCCCCTTCCCCTGGCCCAGCACCGTGACTCCATACCTTTGGCTAGGCGCAGCTCTAGAGGCTGGAAGCAGAGAACCTGGTCCTGGAGATCAGGCTTAGGACTTCAAAAAAAAAAAAAAAAAAAAAAAAAAAAGAACCACCACAAAGGCGACGCGCCCCCCCCCCCCCCCCCCCTCTTTGTGTGGCCCCCCCTCCCCTCTCCGCACACCCCCCTTTTTTTTTTTTTTTTTTTTGAAAAAAAAAAAAAAAAAAAAAAAAAAAGTGCTCGGCCAGGAGAGACTGGACCCCCCCTTCCTCCCCCCTCTTCGTTGGTCCCTCCCCTGTCTCCTAGAGCCCTCCCACATTCCTCTTTCTCCCTCCATTCCTGCGGGGCCAGTTCCCTTCTCTAGGTCTTCCCCTCCCCCGTGGAGTTGGCCGCTGCCGTGCAACCTCCCCCCTTCCTCTGACCCTCCCAGCTCAATGAAGCTTTCTTTTCCCGCAGGTTTGAGACCGGGCAGCCGTGGTCAGGGAGCTGGGCTGTAAGCGCCTTGGGATGGCCGGGCGGCCCTGATGGCGGCCCCTGTGGCGGCGGGAAACCTTCCAGCCCCCAGCTCTTCCGTGTACCCCAGCTAGACAGACTATAAACAGTCCAGTCCAACTCCGGCTGATCTGTAGCCAGGTCCCGCAAGGGGAACTGAAGTCCTGAGGGCCCACTTGGTCATTATGGTGCCCCGGGGTGCCTGCGGCTGATGTCACGGCCTTCTCTCTGATGTCACGTTAAGCGTATGATGTCACACGCAGCCCCCATTCCCAGGTATCAGGGCCCTTTGGTTGAAATCACGAAGTTTCCCTGGGTAAAGCCACTGTGTACGCCCCAGGATAAAGCTCCAGTCTGCAGTCTGGGGACAGGGACTTCTTCTACCTCCCTTCTCTACCGCGGTCACAGGGCGGGAGAGGGGAGGGAACGCCTCCGGCACTCTGCAGCCCCGCCCCTGTCCCGCCCCCGCCCTCGGGGCCAGGAAGCGGGGAAGGAACCGCCTGGGCCATGGACGGGGCTGTGATGGAGGGGCCGCTCTTTCTGCAGAGTCAGCGCTTCGGGACCAAGGTAGTAGGGGGCCAAGCGATGCCGAATCCCATCTGGACTAGAAGTAGGACTAGGTCCAGAGAGAGGGAAGGGGCGGGAAGCAGACTGGAGAGCCCCGTGACGTTCCCTCGAAGTTCCTTTGCGTACTTGGGAGAAGCGTGGGCAGCCCGGGTCTGCGCCTTCTTGGTGCGGAGATGGAGTGGCATCCTCCTTGGGAAATAGGAAGCCCCAAATTGGCCTGCCGAGTCTCTCCTTCCCTGTGGGAGTGTGGGGGTGTGCCCTCTCACACTACGGGCGTCTCTTGCTCTCTTGCAGAGGTGGAGGAAAACCTGGGCTGTGCTCTACCCCGCCAGCCCCCATGGCGTAGCACGGCTAGAGTTCTTTGACCACAAGGGGTCGAATTCTGGAGGTGGCCGAGGTGGCTCGCGCCGCCTGGACTGCAAGGTGATCCGTCTGGCTGAGTGTGTGAGCGTGGCCCCTGTCGCTGTGGAGAGCCCCCCGGAGCCCGGCGCCACTGCCTTCCGCCTGGACACTGCGCAGCGTTCACACCTGCTGGCGGCAGACGCACCATCCAGTGCAGCCTGGGTGCGGACCTTGTGCCGAAATGCCTTTCCGGTAAGGGACTGGGCTGTTGGTAAGGGACTAGAGGTGAGCAACACTAGGCTTAAGGGGCACTACGAGGTTGGGGCAGTTATAGCGGGAGTGGTACCTACTGGCCCAGTGCCCCTTACTCCAACCCAAAAGCCGAGGAATTTTAGGGGCCATCCATGTTCCTTTTTCTGCAGAAAGGAGGCTGGGCTCAGGCACAGGCGGAGAACCCATCTAAATTTTCTGCCCTGGAGATGCTGGAGAACTCGCTGTACAGCCCCACCTGGGAAGGTAGATGTTCCATAAGCACAAGCAGGGATGGACCAGGGAGACCGGGTGCTCTTGGGGGAGCCGGTGATTGGAGCATGCTGGGTCCCTACTTGTCCCAGCACTCCTCCTCCAGATGCCTAATTGTGTGTTCCTTCTAGGGTCCCAGTTCTGGGTAACGGTGCAGAGGACTGAGGCTGCTGAGCGTTGCAGTCTGCAAGGCTCCTACATGCTGAGGGTAGAGACTGAGAAGCTGACTCTCCTGGCTTTGGGGGCCCAGAGTCAGATCCTGGAGCCACTCCTTTCCTGGCCCTACACTCTGTTGCGACGCTATGGCAGGGACAAGGTGCAGGGGCTGTCTGGGAGGACTGTTAGGGAGGGCTTCCTGGGTTGGGTAGCTGTAGGTGATCATTTCCATTCCCTTCTCTGCAGGTGCCCTAAAGTTATCAGACCTGTGACTCCCTTCTTATGACATTCTGGTAATATGTTTTCCTCCACACCCTCAGGTCATGTTCTCTTTTGAGGCTGGTCGCCGCTGCCCCTCTGGCCCTGGAACTTTCACCTTCCAGACCACACAGGGAAATGACATCTTTCAGGCAGTTGAGACAGCCATCCAGCAGCAGAAGGCCCAAGGAAAGGTGGGACAGGGACATGATGTCTTTCGAACAGACTCTCATGAAGGGGAGGTGGCAGAGGGGAAGTTGGCTTCCCCTTCTGGTCCCCACGAGCTCCTCGGCAGCCCTCCAGTCTTGTATGCTGAGCCTTTAGACTCCCTGCGCATTCCTTCAGGTCCTTCTCAGGACTCTCTATACTCAGACCCCCTGGACAACACCCCTGCTAGGTCAGGGGAGGGGGTACATGCCAAGAAACCTCTATATTGGGACTTGTATGGGCATGTACAGCAGCAGTTGCTGAAAGCCAAGCTGATGGATCCCAAAGAGGACCCCATTTATGATGAACCTGAGGGTCTGGCCCCAGCCCCTCCCCGGGGCCTTTATGATCTGCCTCAGGAACCCAAGGACGCATGGTGGTGCCAAGCTCGGGTGAAGGAAGAGGGTTATGAACTCCCTTATAATCCTGCCACTGATGACTATGCTGTGCCACCCCCTCGAAGCACAAAGCCTGCCCCTGCTCCCAAACCACAGGGCCTGGTCTTCCCTGAATCTGGTACTGCAAGTGCAAGCAAAGGCCAGAGCTCAGATACGGCTCTGTATAGCCAGGTCCAGAAGAGTGGGACCTCAGGAGGCTGGGATTGTGGACTCTCTAGAGTAGGAAATGACAGGACTGGGGTCAAGTCAGAAGACTCCACCTGAGGCAATTGCTAGTAAGAGGTCCTTGGGGAGGTGGCACTGGGGATCAAAGGAACCTGCTAGAACCAGAGGGCGGGAAGAGCCCACGTGAGACCAGAGGACAAGGGAAAGATGACCAGTCCCAAGAAGTTCTAGAAGTAGAATAGATGGCAGGGCTGAGGGATGGGCTTTGTGGAGGGTCAGCAACACCAAGCTATTGCTTTACCAAAGGAATGGATAACTGATAGATTATGTCTATGGGAAGGGGTCCATTGGTCAGAGTGGGGACCTTTGGGGGAGAAACCTTCCTCCTGTATTTTCTTTGACAAGTATATTTCTAATTTATAAAAAATTCTCATTAAAGTCAGTTTGAGTCGAAGAGGTCTCTGTGTGTGAATAGGGAGTGCTGGGTGGATATGAAGGGGATGGAGAGAGAGATTTAGAAAAAAACAGGAATGTGTTGGGGACTATGTAAGGAGGAAAGGGTGCAGGGAGAGAAGCCTACAGTGTGTGGCTCAGAGCCTGGGTGGTCACAGGCTTACTTGGGCTTGTCTCTGGTTCTGTGACCTGGGTGAACTGTATGGTTTCTGTAGCCCTTACTCTGCCCTGCTGCCCTTCTGCCAAGTGTGAGAACTTGTATTGGCTCTATTTCTTAAGGTTGTTTGCATGAAATGGATACATTGCTCGAGTACTTATTGTAATCTGAAGCACAAATGGTAGTTACTCTGTAGTTGGAGGAAGTTGGCAGGTGTGGAGAGAGGAGAGGATAGGCTTTTTTTTTTTTCTTCGGCTTTTTGAAGCAGGGTCTCCCTGTAGCCCCAGCTGTCCTGGAACTCACCATGTAGACCAGCCTGGCCTTGAACTCAGAGATCCGCCTGCCTCTGCCTCCCAAGTGCTGGGACTACAGGTGTGCGCCACCACGCTTGGCTTAGAATAGGCTTTTTTTTTTTTGAATGAGGAAGGGAATAGGCTTTTTTCACACCATCCATTCCCCTCTGCTCGGCTATATAACAGCACCCTTCCCCTTCAGCACACACTCATAGACCTTGCTCACAGGTACCAAGTACCAAGTACTTGTCTGTCTGGAGCCAAACGGAGTTGCTGTGTGCCGTGGTGGTCTCAGAAAGGTGCCTCTTTAGATTGGGGCTTGGGTTTTAATGTCTTGGTTTTTCTTGAGCTTTGAAAACTTCATCCTTGTACCTAAGTTGCAGTTTCCCTGTGGGTGACCTGATCTCATCCACCTGCTTACATAGTAAGGGCTGAGAAATGCTCTTAACAATAGTGAAGGCTTACTGGGTATTTAATCATCTGTGTCAACACTATCACATGGTCCAAAAGAAAAAGAGAGCCCTTGCTAGACAAAAGACAGACCTGGGTGTACTGCTTCCAAGCTTGAGTGGGGCTGTGGCAGCACTGGGGACAGGAGGGGAAGGCTCTTTATAGCCTGCATTCACAGGCTCATGTTGATAGCAGGCAGATCCGACCTCAGGTAGCCATCATGTGAGCGGTAGCAACTGGGTGTGGTGAGGCAGGAAAATTGTGCTCTGGTCTGGGGATTCAGGACTAAGAGGGATATTCTTCTTCTGAATCAGAAGGCAGTAAGTCTTCTGAGAAAGCTTTTCTGGATGCTGGCATCTTGGCTCTGCCTGCAACTGGAGCCACTGTCAGGGGAACCACTGTGGCTTGAACTCGGTTGGTCAGCAACTGGCCAGCCTGCAAAGAGCAACCAGAGACTTCTAAAAACCAGATAGTTCCTGAGCTCCTATCCTGTTTCCTGCTGGACTCTAGTCTTAACTCCTTCCCCAGTCCCATCCCTGAGGTGACACTGTGAAGGTCCAAGGTAGTGACTGGAGTCCCCTGGGCTGCAACCTCTACAGTGTCATTGCCTTGCCTAGTGTCTCTCTTCTGTAAACTTGCCATTAAGTTGGGCTCAGCTCCTATGTATAAAAACTAAGGAGCAAAAGGAAGCCCCCTTTTGAGACAAGGTCTCAAGACCCTGGTTGGCCTTAAACTTACAGGAACATATCTGCCTTAGCCTACTGAGTACGGGGATTATGGTGTGAGCCACCACACTTAGCTTTTGATTTCAACCCTTGCCACCAGAGCCCTGTCTCCAAGGTACTAATCCAGGTCAGTTTCCCTCATCTGTACAAGAGTGACACTTCCCTTGCTGGGATGCTATGAGGATTAAGTGAGACTATATGTGAAACATTTATTTTATTAGAAAGCCCGGTAAGTGACTGGTGCTCTGTAAATGTTCTTTCCCTTCCCTTGGGCAGTTCTTTTCCCACCTTCCCTTCAGCCTTTTCTTTCAGGAGAGGGCTGTGGTTGTACTTCCAGTGTAGCGGGTTTGCTTGAGACAGCAGATGTTAAATGACTAAAGAGTTAAAATACTGCAATTAAAATACCTAAGCAACTGGGTGTGGTGACATGAGCCTGTATTCCCCCCTCACTCAGGAGGCTGAGGCAGGTGGATGGCAAGCTCAAGATCAATCAGTCTGGGCTGCATTGCTTGTTTGTGAGACTCTGCCTCAGAAAAACAAAAAATGGAAAAACAAAACCAAGCTGGGCGTGGTGGCACACACCTTTAATCCCAGCTGGCAGAGGCCAGCCTGGTCTCCATAGGGATTCTTAGGTCGGCTGGGGCTACTGGGAGACCCTGTCTCAAAAAGACCAGAAAATAAAACAAAAACAAAAACCAGAACCAAAACCAACCACGTCAGCCTACCATACCACATGGGATTTCTTTTTCTTTTTCTTTTTTCTTTTTTTTTTTTTTGTCTTTTTGAGACAGGGTCTCCCTGTAGCCTTAGCTGGTCTGGAACTCACTATGTAGACCAGGCTGGCCTTGAACTCACAGAGATCTGTCTGCCTCTGCCTCCCAAGTGCTGGGATTAAAGGCTTGTGCCACCACATCCGACCTTGAATGGGATTTCTTAAGCAAAATTCTTTCTCCTTCTTTTGCCTGGTTCTCCCCTCCACTTGTGGTGGGGAAGGAAGTGGGGCTGCCCCCTTGGGTCTGGGCACTGTTGAGGATGGAGATGAAGGGCTCCCTTCATCTCTGGGCATAAAGGGGATGGGAGGATGGTGGGAAGCGTGGGGAAGAAGAGAACTGTACCTTTCTAGGTTTCCCACTCTCCCAGCTTGTGCAGAGCCTTCCCTGAGGCTTGGTAAAGGAGTTGCTCAGGTATGAGTACAGGTGGCTCTCAACTTGCAAGGGGTTGTAGGTGGACTCCAGCTCCAGGCTGTCCAATGTACTCTGAGGAGGAGAAGAGGTGTTCTGTTCAGGGAACTCAAGTCATAGAACACAATATGTCACACAAAGACCAGAGTGTGAGACACTGAAGGAGTGTGAAGACCCCAGGCTGCTGTGGAGGCCGAGACAGGTGAGACCTACTGGTGTTCTGCCCCAGGAATGTGTGTGCTTGTGTCAGGCAAAGGACAGAAGTAGGTACAAACCCTAATGGTTAGGAATTATGAAGTTCCTAACATTGTCCCTGGAAAGTATGCCATTGGGTTCTGAGAGGAACCAGAGCAATTATAAGGGGTACAAGGGATCCAGTGTATGCAGCTGAGGGAGGGTGTGCCCTCAGGTTATGTGGTGGGGTAGGGGTGCTCCAGTCTTCAAGGTAAGTACAGGGAGTTCCCATCCTGGGGTGAGTGGAGCACAGGAAGGCATTCGTGCACAGCATTCCTGAGCAGTCAGGCTTTCCAGCCATAATATCCTGTGCCAGGAACCACAGGCCCTAAAGTGAGACACCAAGGGAGCCATGGCACTGGTGCTCTGTCCTTTCTGCCTGTCAGCCAACCATCCAGCAGTGATGTGGCTCCCATTCTCCCACCCCAGCCTGGGGAACCCAGCAGAGGAAAGACAGAATCTAGATACAGACAAAGAGGAGGGAGAGGGAGAGGATGGAGCAAAGACAGAGCTGAAGGCTGCCCCCCAACCTACTGACTTCTTGGCATCTGAATCTCTGATTCCTTTTACTGCCTTTCCCCCAGCAAACGCCCAGGAACACAGGTATGCATATGCATATTTCAGAGAACATAGCAACACACAGAGTGTACATGTGGAGTCACACTAAGCACAGGCATGCTTTTCCCCAATCCCTCCATCTAGAGGCTTAGCACACACAGTAGTGTATCATACTAAACACCCAAAGGCATGAAACCCCACTCCATGCTTCCTTTTGGACATCTCCTTTTATTGTCCTTCCCTCCTTCTTTGTTCCTCTGCCTTTCACTCTTCTCTTGTCCTATCCTTCCTCCCTCTGCTCCTCCTTTCCCCTTTTAAAAAATATTATTTTTATTTTATGTGTATAAATGTATTGCCTGCATGTATGTGAGTGCACCCGTGTTGTGCAATGCCTTGGAGGACAGAAGAGGGCTTTGGATTCCCCTGGAACTGGAGTTAAAGACGGTTTGTAGCTGCCATGTGGGTGCTGCCATGTGGGTGCTGGCAATTGAACCTGGGTCCTCTGCAAGAGCAGTCAGCACTCTTAACCACTGAGCCATCTCTCCAGCCCCCTTTCCCCCCCTTTCTAACCTCAGGCTCCTCTCCAAGGTGGAAGTGCAGAAGAGGGAAGGGGGTAGCATGGCTGCCTGGTTCAAAGAGTACACCAGATGAAACCAGACAGATCCAGTTCATTGCCTGGACCTAGACTGCCTGCCCTGCCTGTGGCCAGCTTTCCCTTCTGGAACACTGGCCCTTTTCTTCTTTGCTTACCTTTTGGCATTCACTTAAATCAGGTGTCAGAGGTATCTGCATGCATGTGAATGCATATGTATGTTTAAATCAGATGTTAGGGGTACATGCATGCATGTGTGTGTTTGTACATATGTGTGTGCATGTGTGTCCATATGTGTTGTGTCTATGTGCACGTATGTGCTGTGCGCACATGTGTGTTTGTGCGCGTGCACTCCGGGATAGCAGTAATTCCCAGTCATTTGCCTGTACCAGTGACCCCTTTTTCTCTCAACTCTCTCTTCTCAAACTTCATTTCCCTCAAAATAGTGAGTGGCTTCTCACTTCATTCTCACCTTGCTGCCTTAATCAGAGCATTGATTTCCTTCCACCTCATTTCCTCTCCTTGCTTGTGTCCCCTTGGGACACTCATCCCTCTGCTCCTCCATCCATTCCCCCATGGTCCCATTCTCCTTTACCCCATTCTCAAGCTCCATTCTGACAGCCCCATGGGCTCTACTTGCCTCCACCATCTTCAGGCTGTCTTCAGGTGGGTCCTCAGATAGCAGGGGGAAGAGGCTGGGCAGCATGAGTTCCCTTGTGGCCACGGCTTTCACCAGTAGTGTGAGGGAGCGAGAAGGTGTGATCACATAGAAGGTACTAGACAGGACATTCTGGTTGTGTCCAGGGCTCAGGGGTTCCCCTTTGGCCAACAGCAGCCATTCTCTTTTCTGCAACAAGGACACATATCTTCAGTCTTTGGCACATTTTGAGGATAACCCTAATTGAAGATTCCCTAAGTTCCTTTTGGGGTGTTAGAGAGGGCAGAGCCATTTTATTGTGGCCCTAGGAAGGAGCTTCTTGGATGAATCACTAATACCTCAGTTACTACTCTTTCTCTCTGGTCCAGGATGTGCCAGAGAGAGTAGGCAAAAAGGTTAGCAATGGAGACCCAAACTAAGAGATGTCCTTTAACATTGGGATGAAGTGGGTTCATCCCAATTGACTATTCAATGGTAAGTGTGGAGCTTGAAAAAGTATAATTCTATGTATGGTGTATTTTATTTTATTTGTGTGTGTGTAGGCATGTATGTATCACAGCGTGTGTCAGAGGACAACATTTGGAAGTCTTCCACCTTGCTGAGGCAGGGTCTCTCTTGTTTCTGCTGCTGCACTGCATACTCCAGGCTAGCAGGCCTACCTTTTCTTTTCCAAGATAGGCTTATTCCAGGCTGTTCAGGAACACACCACTGTAGCCCAGACTAGCCAGACTGCTTCAGCTTCCCATGGTGGGATTCTAAGCATGAGCCACCACACCTGGCTCCAAGAATTATATATAATTA